TTAGTTGCATGCAAAAGAGACGATGCGACAGAAAACAAAGCCCTTCGTAGTTTTCTCTCTCGCACTGGTAATGGTCTGCTGTTGGAGTTGAAATGCTAAGACATAATCCTTGTTTCGCTCTTCTGGTTAGTGTGAAGAGGTCAACGAACATGTAGAGCTCACTTTGATGAAGTAGGCAAGGCTGTGAGCGCTGTGGCTCAAAGCGATAGGCCCTAAATCTTACGAGATATTTCGAGTGCTATTGTTTGTTGCGAGCGCTTCGTTTTCGCTGAGTCCTGCCTCTTTCCTGGCCGCTGCCCTCATAGGATCAACCACGAAGTGACTGTACTCATCTGCAGCCGATCAATGTTATATTGCACAAGAAGATATCGTTTTCGCCAAGCCAGTGCCCCACCAAAGACCATCGCTGTGTCACACCGTCGGAACGAGTTCATGATGAGAAACATCATTCGCGCGTGATGAAGAACTATTTCGAAAGACAACATAGTCTTTACCCCCGGGACGACAACTATGCGCACGTCCTGCAAGGGGAGAATGTCACCAGCGACATCAACGAAGACGACGGCAGTATTTCGGAAACCTGGAGTCAGCGGAGGTCGTCCAGCTCCTCCGCGACCCGGTACATGTACAGTATAGATGACATGTCGACACGAGCGTGCGGAAACACAGCATACGCTGTAGTAATGTTGCGAGAGTTTGCGGAAGGAGTCCAAGTCGGGAAATCCATCAGCTCCAAAAGCTACCTGTAGGTGGGCGATGAGACTCCAGCTTCAGACTACAACAGTCAGGACTTGTAAATAGTTGAACTATGTGAAGCAGCAGATCGAGAAGTTAGTTAGCTGAAATCGTAGCTGTTGCAGTATGTCGGCGCTATGGAGCTTGCATTTTTTACGGAGAGTCGATCGCCACGCGAATGTTTCTCTCCTCACCGAGAGCTAGCTGGCCTCCAAACTCCGTCAGGGTCTGCCTAAGGTACCGAAGGTCCTTTGACTAGCTGCTGGCAGGACTCCATCAAATCCTTTCGCTTCAGCTCGGCGAGCAAAAGTCTCTCTCTCCTCCGCCATGAGCTGACACACACAAACTGAATACAAAACGATGCACTTCACACATTCTGGCTTGCACGCGTGCCCCCTTTCACGAACCCAGACAATCTTTTCGGGATTGGTCTATTGGCTCAGGAGCAGTTCAATGGAGCAGGTGGTGTTTGAATGGAATGAAAATAGAGAGCAGTGCTTTCAAACATTCAGCGTGAAGTGACCATGGTGACACTGACAGTCGTATGATAGCGCTGGTATGGTGTTCGCACAGTAACGAATGCACCAGTGGACCGTATGCGTGTTTTAAAAAACAAAATGGCGTCACGATTTATTGAAAGTGGTTGGTGGTACGAGTGTTCAAACCCATTTGAACTTCATACTGTTCGTCTTCTTTTTGACATGCTCTCTTTCCATCGTCCTTAGCTATTGTTTGTTGAGAGCTGTTTTGGCTTTCTCCTATACCTCTGGGGGATGCCAAGTGATGGTTTTGAGAGGCTGGTGATGGCTGTGAGCGAGAGTTTGCCGATCGGCGTCGTCCTCGCTGTAGCGATGAAAATACTAGTTACTGCGCACCTGGCAGATATCACAACACGTCGGAGCGTCCAGGAGCAAAGGAATCTTGGGTTTTCACTGGAATCTAGTTCCTCCAGCATCGTGTAGCCCACCGTCGGTGAATGGCCGTCCAGAAAGGTCGAACCTGGTCTTCTGCAGCATCTCGCAGTCCTGCGAGGCACACTGAATACGCCTGTCATGTATTCTACAAATAAAAATCACGAAGTAGTGGACTTTATAGTGATGAGTCTATCCTGTATGCTGAAAAAGACGCAGGAAATGCCACTGGTGTCCGTACACTGGACGCCAATATCATCCAAGTCTTCTCCTGCAGGATCTGTTTGACATTGACATACCGGAATGCCATGGGTCGACATTGGCCTGGTTTGGCAGCTATCTGCCTGGGTGGATGTAGCAGGTTTGCATTGGCGCGTCGTCCAGTCCGACATTTTCTTGTAACTGTGGAGTACCGGCAGGGTTTGAGAGGTTGCTTGTGCTGTGAACACATCTCTACTGCCTGTCTCGTCCTAGAAGTGCCGTCTCGCCGCTTCCTTGCTCTACAGTCACGCCGTTATTTCGCTTTGCTTCGTGGTGCAGCTCAAAACCTGCCCAAACAACTGTGAGCTCGCAACATGATGTGGACAAATTGCACCACTCATGCTGGTTAACTAAAACCGGGATAGTCGAGTAAGCGAGTTCACTCCCTGGGCCATGGCAAGATCTGTTCAGCGCGGGCTATTTCAACCTCCAAGTGCATAGTCACCGATCGATCCATGCGATGGTGGTTGACCTACAAAGAGCCAAGGTCTACGAGTACTACTATTGGATGCTGTCTACATGCAGTCAACAAAATCAAAGTACCTCAGTATGCCCCAGAATAGGGCATGTGCATCTATAGCATGACACAACAGGGGTTCTGGCGGCACCTGTCAAACAAGCAGTAGCGACTAGTGCCAGCTACCTATTGGAGGCTAGCCGCTACAGTCTGTCACTGAAGATAATTATTATGTTCACTGTTTAGACTGAGCACAATCAATGATGCCCAATCAATCTGCCCAATGTGTGTTCTGTTCCACCTAATTATAACGTCCCATCGCATCAACCCTACTACACGCACATGTCGTCACTCTAGCATGACTTGTGTTATTATTGTATATTTTGATTCGCACGATAAATAGAGCACAATAAACGTTAACTTGACCAAAGGATAAAGGCGACTGCAGATAGAGGAACACATCGAGGTACAGGTACCGGCATCAATACAGTATCAGAGAGAAACAAACAAAAATGAGAGGTATGCAGAAAAAACTCTCGTAAGCTCAAGGGGAAGTGGTTGATGAGGGATGAATGCACTCTCCACGCTCATCTACACTGTTCGTGGAAATGCACACATACATACAATAATATACAACATAGCAATAGCATGCACAGAACCGAACAATTTCATGTTCACACATGCAAGCACAGACCTGAACATTAGTACCAAAAGCCGATACAGACAATATCCCCATACACACAGACGCACACACACACACACGCACACACACACACACACACAATGTCCCATGTATGCGCCCGTGGCAAGAAAAGCACGCAAATCTACAAATGCACTGGATGTGAAGCCACAGATTTTCTCTTATAGCAACGATAGCGGATCTGATTCTGAATGAAACACACACACACAATACAATCATTGAATGCCCATCCGCAGATGATGGCAGGTCCTGAAACGACAGGCAGTGTTTCAGTCATGGGGAACAGAACTTCGAGTGACGAGTGAGGTATACACACACACACGTGCGTGCGCGGGCACACACTAAAGTATTCAGAAATAGAATCAACATCGTAGTATTCATTGGTTGGGGAATGGAAAGGAAAATAAAACATTGCTGTAGGTTATTGTTGTAAGGACACTGGGAGCACAACAGAAAGGTAAGCAACTTGTTTTGAAGCAAAGAAAGTTATTATTCCACGGATCTCAGAAGGAAGGAACGTTCCAGAATGCTGCACTGGCAACAGGCGGCCTGCATGTGCGCGGCCCCTGCAGTCGGTCCAGCTGCCGGCCTTGCACTGCTGAAAAGAATGTGCAGTACAGCACGTCACATAGTATCGCAGCCTGGACAAATAGGCGCTGGGAAGTCCTAGTTATGTGCTCACCTACACCACGATGCACCAGTCTTCTGAGCTACTTTGGCAACAACTTTGTCCACTTGAGACTCCCATGGGCTGAGCCAGTTGTTGAGGGCTGCACCAAGGTGGACGGCAATGACCGCTGATGGCAAGGCAATCCATGACACACAGTCACTAGGGCATCGTCAACATGGCGCTGAGGCTGGATCGATAGAATCAACCTTAAGGCTGCCGCGGGGTTGACAACGAGGCCGCTGTCTCGAAGCTAGTCAGTCAGCCTGGTCACCGCCATTGACGAACCAGTCGCCACCGCCAGCAGTGGCGGTAGGTTGTGACAAGTGTGGTGCAATATTGTCAGCAAATTCAGTACTCAGGATAAGATGAGTGACAAAGGGAACGTTGTGTTTGATAATATTGAAGTGAACAGGGATGATCACAAACCCTGCGCGTACTCCACCGTGAGTTACAAGAAAATTCCGGACTGGACGACGAGCAAACGCCAACCTGCTACATCCAACCAGGCAGATACTATTACGATAGCTGCCAAACCAGGTCAATGCCGACCTACTGCATAATGTCAATGTCAAACAGATCCTGCAGGAGAAGACTGGGGTGTTGGCGTCCAATCACTGAGTGTACAGACACCAGTCACATTTCCTGTGTCTTTTGCAGCATACAGGCTGAGACTCATCACTGTAGAGTCCACTACTGCATGAGTTTTATTTGTACAATACATGGCAGGCGTACACGGTGTGCCTCGCAGGACTGCGAGATGCTGCAGAAGACCAGGTTCGACCTTTCTGGACCGCCATTCACCGACGGTGGGCTACACGATGCTGGAGGAACTAGATTCCAGTGAAAACCCAAGATTCCTTTGCTCCTGGACGCTCCGACGTGTTGTGATATCTGCCAGGTGCGCAGTAACTAGTATTTTCATCGCTACAGCGAGGACGACGCCGATCGGCAAACTCTCGCTCACAGCCATCACCAGCCTCTCAAAACCATCACTTGGCATCCCCCAGAGGTACAGGAGAAAGCCAAAACAGCTCACAACAAACAAAAGCTAAGGACGATGGAAAGAGAGCATGTCAAAAAGAAGACGAACAGTATGAAGTTCAAAATTAATGGTTTTGAACACTCGTTAATAATACCACTTAGTCTTTCAATAAATCATGACGCCATTTTGTTTTCACATGAATATCGCGGGTTGCATGCATGCAGCGCTAGCGCTCATGTAGTTCGCCGTGCATGCTCGGAATACAATCATGCAGCATGCTTGAAGTGTTACTAGTATTACTAGTAGTCAGTTGAAGCTCCTTCTCCACTCTAACTAACTATTACTTATTCTAGTTACAAATAGCGCAGATTTTAGATTGTGGTGGTAATTTCCGAACCACTCGCATAGATTCCCACCCAAGCCAAGGTAAACAGTGCTAACGGTTCGCTGCATGCTGCAAGCTCATCACTGTCAGTGGTCCAACTTGTACTAAGTAATTAGTTGTAGCCCTTGGAATCATGGCCAGGACAAGTTCTTTATCATGTCAGCTCTGTGGCCAGACCTGACCGTATTGTCGAAATTGGACGTTGCACACGTCTAACCGGTATGCTCAAGTAGTTGTCAGTAGCGGAAGCAGCAGCATTTATGGCCGGCTGTGAGTGCGAGCGGAGATTGATTGCACTACTGCATTGTAGGCGATTGTAATCTAGCTGCCTGAGTATGGTCATCACAAGGCATGGAGGTGAGTTCTGAGCTCCATGGCAATGCGCTTACTATCAGTAATTTCACGGAGGGTGACCGAATTTGCAAGATAGTAAACAAAAAGAACTGTATTTGTTGCTGTGTTCAATATAAAAATTAATGTTATTGGGTGTATCCACGGGGCACGGCTGTTAGCTGCACTTGGATCGCGGCAACTAATTACTTAGTTTTCTGCACGTGCACCATGAAAAATCAATGCATGCTCATGCATGTTCATGCATAACCAGTCAGCTGGCCTGCTCGCCCACGCATTTGACAGGTAACAATTCCATCAAATTTGAGATATCGCTTCGTTCTAAGTCTCAAAACAGTTCTAAAGTCACCAAACCGTGCTGGTAATCGATGGCTATTCAATGTTAACATCTTCAGGAAGACTTCAGCCGTTTCCCGAGAGTTTGGGCATCGTTGCCGTTATTTTTCACGGTGTTCTTCTTCCTCCTGTCTGGAGTTGCAATTGCATCCTGGAATTATTTGAAAGGTATTTCGTGCGGGCTGTGGGGGGTTCCAACAGGCATAAACTGACATCACTATAGGATAACTGGTAACTTTCACCCTTCAAGGAGGTAGAGCAATGAGAATTTTTTTGTGGCGGTCGTCCAATTTTTGTGGCGGTCGTGGCTGTATTTGTGCACTTCCAAGGCTTTCATTCTGCCTGATACTACTCTGTACTGTATGGGAATCGAAGTTAGGCACATGTAGCTGTCTTATTTGGTAGATCTGCTGTTTTCAATCACTTGGGACACTTTGTCTAGCCTATTTGTCTTTCGTTCGTGCCATCTATCAGTTTTGTGGGGTGCCTTGACCTGTATTTGTGAAGTTCTCGAGTAAAGACCCTAATTCTTGACTGGAGTCACGTCTTGAATTGAATTTGCTGGGTGAGCCCTCGTTCACGCAGTTTTACTTATCGTAATAGTCAATATCTGCTTGCTGGACGGACTAGCGGCTAGAATAGGGATGACCAAATGGTCCAAGTGTGTACTAGTACACGATTATTGTTTCCATCATCGTGAAATGCTCGTTGTGGAAATGCAGTCGTCTGCCTTTGGCACTGAGGACATGAGGAGAGTTGATTGTTACTTCTGCTCAGCAATGAAGCGATCATCAGCTCTCTTTGTTCTAATTATTGAGAGGACATACCGGCATCGCAATCAATAAAAGATTAGGCAAACCTCGCCAACCTCCAAAGAGAGTCGAAGATATTTTCTCCAAATGCAAAGACGATCTTTGTGAGTTTGTGACTTGCATTTGCGTGCATACATGAGCAAGTCACGGACCACGGCACGTGCGCGGTTACCATGCCATCTCGAACCGACGCCATCTTTCTAAGTTGCCGCTTCTTGACAGCCGTGGGGGGCATTCTTGTAAGGCGACCATCTGTATCAGGAGACAACTACATTTACATTTTTATTTTTTTTACTTGAAGTATTTACAAAGAACACAAACCCGGCTCGAGACAACACTTAGTAACTGTAAAGATAACAAAGTTTCAGGGAGGACGAGATACGACTAGAACACAGAAGTTGACTGTTTACAGAAAACAACTATTGAGTCGAGACTGACTATCCACTAGTGCAGCTGTGTAGGTGGGACGCTGTGAACTTCTCCGACCAGAGGTCTCGGTATCCCTGCACACTACGAGCACCAGTGTGTGTGTGTGTGTGCGTGGGGGGGGGGGGGGAGACAGAAGAAGCTAGGCCATCAGCTAATATGCTAGTCTGTGGCGTACGCGTCGACAGCTGTCCCGCAAGTTTGCTCGAGGAGGTACTTGTACACTGCTACCCTGTAGGACGAGTAGCAAACTATTCATTTCCAGTAAACCTTGGGTAATGGTACCACCTGTATGCCACATACAGGACCACAATTCAATTTCTGTGCGAGCGTCAGTGCCCAACAATGGCACTGCTATGTATTCGGGCTTGGATGGTTTACCGGATAACCAGTTATCCGACCGCTAGACTTGTGTGGTATGCAACCGTTAATTTTCCGGTTCCAAACGGGTTTTCATGCACCTGTATAATGTAGCAGTGCATGATGTGCTTCACCAGTCATTCCGTCACATGCAGCTTTCCAGGTTACTCACACCTGCAGGCATATCCTTGCAATGTAAATAACATGTGCTTGCCCCACATTCGCTGCTTCGACTGCCATCGCTATGTGCCTCCCTGTGCTGCTTTGCTGGCGTTTGCACCTTGATGGTTTGTGGCGGTCTTGTGAAAAAGTGTAATTTCTTTGACTCGTCGACAGAAGCTTTTGGTTGAGGGTATGATAATATTGCTGGATACATGTCAGAAGTTGATCAAGTGGGAAGGAATTCCTAGGATATGAGTCTCAGCACGGAAGACGAAACCGTCTCCCCCACCATAGTTCAGCTTAAAGCTGTAGAAGGTGTAGAAGCCTTGTTTGATGTCAATGCAGAGGTCTCGCTTGTGTTTCAGGGATTATGGTGTGTCCTGCGGCAATGGGTCATGTTTGTGTACACGTGCTGGAAGAGATCTACACTGAACTTCAAGAGCTGATTATTACCAGTCATCCGACCATTTATTTAGAGAATACCTGGCCATGAAAACGTTGTGGCTGTTTATTGAGCCTTACATGTATGTATGGAATTGTATTGTGCAGTTGAGACACATAGGATCTCGGTGAATGGATAAATATAACATCAATGTCTCATGCGATGGTATCAGGTTTGGCCACAAAATGGAACATCCCCGTCCGACATCACATGACCCACTGGTCTCGCGATTGACTCTGAGAATCGGAATATACATGGCCCTGGTCTGGACGTATTGCAGGTGCTAGTCTGCAGTATAGAACTCTAAATCTGGCAGCTCCCATTAATTTTGTGCTGCAATAATTGGCAAAAGCTGCAGGTTCCCAGGTACAAATCAAACATAGCTTTCGAAGTGCATTAATGTTGTCACCGATGTGTAGATTATGGCATGGAACAGGTCATGAGGTTACTCTGTTAGTATATGCCACATGTTATGGCTTTCTCAACAAATCTGCTAGATTCTGATATTATCTGCGTTGCGGGTCAATCACAATTTGGAGCAACACCCACCCAGGTGGATGTTAGGGATATTGGAAATGTAATTGGCGAATGTCGCGTGCATTCTAAAGGGTAACCTTCCTCGTTTTACGCTGGTAGAATACGGAAAAAGGCAGTCATCCAATAGAGTTTTCTGGCAGAGTATTGTCTTATGATTGTGTTTGCTGAGGCGGCTGGGAGTAGCTTGTATTGACCGTCGGAGTAGAGCATTTTGAAGCACAGCACCGTTACCATGGTTACACGCAATCATGTGACAAAAGAACAAGAAAACATACAGATCTGTATTACCTCCCAAATTTCTTGCAACATTCCAACAGCATGTGACTGTCATCTCTTCCAGGGGAATCATGTTCTGAAACTGGGAAGCAAATCATTCATGCATTTTCAACTCCCTCAAATTATGCATTGCATAACGTTTCTTGTTTCCCTCTGTCTGCTTGCTGTTGTAGGAGTCACTGTATTCACCGTCAGTATCTGCGGACAGGTCTAGTATGACCATATGGCTCAGTTATCACATACAGCCTGATGAAGCCATCGTATACTCAGCACCAGGTACAATCCAGTGTGATTGATGGGGATCAGATGAATGGCTGGTATTGTGCACATCACGATCTTGGCTGTGGCGCGGTTCTGTCTACAGCTTGTTGGTTCGTTTTACCTGGTGATCGTGAACTGCTGCAAGAAGGTCTCTCAAGCATGTGTATCGATGATCGTTGGAGGAAGCGACCAGCGCGAACAGCTCAGTCAATCAGTCAAGTCATGCCAGCAGCTCAGCCAACAATTTAGTGTATGCCAGCAGCCCAGCCTGTAAGCAATTCTGTGTCAGGAGACCAGTCAAAAAGTTCGGTGTGTGCCAGCAGTGGCCAATCTAGCAAGTCAGTGTGTGTGTGGGACCTGCCCAGTAGCTACTCAAGCTGCCAACTGGCCACTGGTTAGGGTGGCAGCCGGTGGACGAAAGAGAGCCGTGTGGTGTGGCGCCTTTGTGATGCCGAACAGAGACAGAACTTGAGCAGTGGACCAGTGGTGGAAAGTACCTTCCCAAGTCTCTACACTAGTAAGTGACTGTGGCCCCTGTGGAGTCTGAACAATACCGGAGCCGAGCTAAGTACTACTTCGAGTATCAGAATAGATTCATTGTTCTTTTTTCCTGATGATGGCCATGTGCCGAAACATTGTAAAGTAACGGAGCTGGTTGGGATGTGCAGCGCTATGGGAATGGGTGTGTCCACCCGAACTCCTTTCAGAACATAGATATCCTGTAAAAAGATATGTTTGCCTTCACCTGCTGGGGTTGGGTTTTTGCAAGATGCCTCTGTATGTGTGCTTTGATCCTCGGATACGTACATTGTTGCTCGATGCAGTCCGATCCCTTGAGTCAAGTTTTCGCCCTGCACCAGTTCACATCCCATTATTGCCAGGTCAAGAGCTGCATAGCACCTGGCATGTATACTTGACTCATGCGATCATATATAAGAATTCATTGGGCACGGCTGCACATTCCTCTATCATGCTGAGTGAGATGTTGCGGATAGGAAAATTTAATGATGAATCACATCTCGATACCCTTGCTCAGTGCTTTCAGGATCTACTACTGTGTGACTGCTATCCATTGCCATGGCATTTCCTTTCTGCATTCTACATACATATTTGATTTATTTCCTGCTGCTTCTGCTGCTACATGACTGTGTGTGCGTAGGACTGCGGGTTCCAACTACTCTGTCAGCCTTTTCATAGCAACCACAACTTTGCCTTGCTAAGATCATGCTGGGCTCAAGAAAATTGGTTGCCATGGAAAACATTTTCCCGTCCCGGCATTATGTGTCGGCGGGGTCGAACTCTTTGCATCTGCGGCGTGAGCGATCATTCCCATGTTCTTCTCTTAGTGTCTTCATCATATCTTTTGTTTGTGTTTCAATGAACATATTGCTGCGCAAGTTCTTGCCGTCAGCAGGATCTGCGAACATAGCCACTGGCCTAAGAAATGCTATAAATCTAGTGGAGGGAAAAGGGTGGAAGGTGGGGTGCCAGCAGCGAAAGTAGCTTGCGTAAGACATGGCTGCCTGAAGGGACAGGACCAGTGGAAAGGCCACCATCACTGCAGAGACACCCCCCCCCCCAACACCCGTCCCCCGCGCCCCCCTGCAGGGATCACACCACCGTGCATCGGTGGATTGGCTGTAGCACAGAATAATTGGCAAAAGAAAAAAAGAGAAAGATGGCCCCACCATTCAAGATCAAACATATTCAGAAATTATCAAATACTTCCACACTTTCTTCCTGCTGAATCATCTCCTCCTCCCCGAAGTGTTATAGTACTAGTAGTAGCTTTGCTTTTCTGCCATGCACACACCCCTTGCTCTATCTGGCACACTGATTATCCTTTCTCCTTTTTTTCTTAAACCCACTGGGATTTGAACCTCCGTCTACCGAATCAAATTGCACCACCCCTAACCATTCCACCATTCTGCTGTTCTTGAAATACAAAAATCAAACATTACCTTAGTACGTTACATGATGGAAGCACGGATGAAAGTGTAGGCCAAGCAACCATGCCAGAATTCTGAAGAAAGCCCAAGTGCAAGCATGAAACCAGTCAACAGGTAAAGGATGATCGTCACGGGCAATCCTTCCCCCTTTGGATGGCTTCAAAGGTCAGCGTGAATGCTAGGAACGAGAGTTTATTCTACAATAATCAGTAGTACTTGAAGTACTTCAGAAGTGAAGAAATGACGAGTACATGAAGTCAACTTGAAGGGGGACCAGCATTGTTGCATTGTTGGCTGGATATGACTAAATCTGAAAAATCGAATTAAAAAAATTGAATAAAAATTGCATATAGAGAAACAGGGCTTATACCCGGGTGGCAGAAGAAAATAAGGAAACTCTGTCATGGAAAGAAGAGGCTGAATTACTCATGCACTCATCGGTAACCTGATAACACTTAATCGGAGCATGCATTGCTTTTGACCGGGTTCCGCACACTGAGAAACACTCCGTTACGAGCAATCACTGGCAATGATCAGCTTTTTCATCCCAAGATGACTAGATCACTAAACTGACCAATGATGGCACAGGTTCTAATGAACAATTACTAAGGTTTTAGTGCATTCTGACTGAAGTAAATAAAGAATAGCTAGCTAGCTAGCTGCCATGAAAGGCAAATAAATAGAATGATAATAGCTGCATTGCAGGTGAACGCAGACTATGTAAAACCTATAGGACAGGGATGTCAGCACCTACACAGTGCTGTTTATGCATGTTGGGCATGCGGCTCGTCTGAGCTTCAGGTTTTGACTTGACCGGTGGCAGTACTGTTCATCGAGTCCAGCCTGAGACGGTTGTGGTGAACAATCTCACCACTGCTCCCTGGGTTCACTCTTGCATCTACAGGGCTACATGCTTCTACACGAAGCTCGCGTACGCGACAAGAGTCACGCGTTTACACAATGTTCACACAGCCTGCAGCAGACTGTACATTGAGCAAGCCGGCCCATCTTTGTTCATGCCGGACCTGTACTGGTGACAAGGGGCCACCGAGGCCCAAAGTGTTTGTTCAGAACTCTGCTACGCGGTGTGGTGACTAGGCCGAATGCTGATCAGAACTCCCACGATGGTAGCCAGTGCAGGCCGTGCATCTGGCTACCGCTGTGCTGACTGCGTTCTCCGGTCATGCCGTACGACAGCGGATGAAATAGAGTGAAGCTGTGAGAGTACAGGACACGTCAGCGTACACACGCATGCCAAAATCCATACACCACATATACATACACGCACATACACATGTTTACTGCTGGTGTTAGTGGATTATATAGTAGAACTTGTAGCTCTTTGATCCTCTTTTCTTCGTATACATATGTGGTAGCTAACACATGTTTCTTGGAATTATTTTCCGTTCATTAGGTTGATGAGGACACAACATGTTCTTCCAACGTACAATATAAGCTTGATCCAGGCTACTAAGTTGTGAACTCTCACTCCATGCTGTGAAGCTAAAAAAACACCTAAATTGCCGGATTCAATATGTGATTTCTGATTAAAGGTTTCGCGTGCGTGCAAAAGAGAGAGAGAGAGAGAGAGAGAGAGAGAGAGAGAGAGAGAGAGAGAGAGAGCGAGAGAGAGAGAGAGCGAGCGAGAGAGGGAGACAAGGAGAGAGAGAGAGAGAGAGAGTGTGTGAGAGAAAAATAGAGAGAGAGAGAGAGAGAGAGAGAGTCAGTGAGAGAGAGAGTCAGTGAGAGAGAGAGAGAGAGAGAGTGTGTGTGTGTGTGAGAAGAAGAGAGAGTGAGTGAGAGAGAATGAGAGAGGAAGCGGTTGAGTGAGAGAGGGACAGAGTCACCCGACAGACAGAAGGAATAAAGACGCAATGCGTACCTGGCCACAACTGCAGAAAGCACACCGGCATGGAGACATGTACAAAGCACAGTGTAGCTGAGCTGTGCAATGGAATTCGAGGCCAGAAGTCGAGAGGAATGACGCAGGATAAAATCCAACACTGTGCCTGCAGGAATAACAGCCACAGGCAACACAGGCAACACACAGGCCACACAGGCAACACGATTGAGAACGTCTTGGAAGACAAACCAACAACACCATGAAACCAGTCTTTGAGGGGACTACCACATTGTTTTAGAGAAGGGAAACATCATAATTGCTCCACTCATGTACTGTGCACTACACTCTGCTGTGGCAGCATTCAAGCACTCCCAGCACACTGCACGCATCCTACACGTACTGCGACCAGAGAAACATGAGGTTTTCCTACAACGTACCTGTGAGCATAGCGTTGAAGAGGAAAGCAGGGAAGTAGTGATGGAAGTAGAGTACACGTCCCATCATATAGAACGGTATGTAGTGCAACAGCCAGCCTATCAGCATCCATGTACAGCAGCGCAATGAACGCCGACAGTCATCTTGGGCACAGAAGAAAGGAAACAAAAGGCAATGGCGGATTAATACACACAGTGAGTGCCCTGCGCCCTGTTTCTACAACAGATCTAGCACATACATCAAAATCCATGCATGTACACTGCATGGCTTTCACACATTTTGCCCCTCTGTGTCAAGTATCACGCATCTTTTTGGTTTGGTGGATCGGGCAAAGAGAAACGTGGCCTGATTCACTTCGTACACCAATTGCTAGCCCACTACTGTGGTGTTGGCACATATAGCACTATGACACAATCTGCTGTGGCAATACCAAGTGCTGATTGCACCTGCACAGCGCTATGAAACAACTTGGTGTGGTGGCACAGTGCTAATGCGCATGTCGCTAGTGTTTCTAGGAAGCACACACGCACACACACGCACACACACACGCATGCACACACACACACATACATATATATAATTATTATTATTTCCATTGCTATCAGGTTCGGCCTCATTTCCTCTGTGCTGCGCTGACGAGTCCACAAAGGACGAAACAGTTCTGTCCGCAGATTGAGTATTTCGCTCCTGCTCTTGTAGCAGTTGAGCACTCTTGCGTGGGGTAGTGCCTTTGCTGTTTGCGTTATGCAGAGCTCACTGACTTGTCAGTTTGAGCACTCTGGCAAGGTACGTTCGGGCCTGATTGGAAATTTTTATTTCCATTGCTATCAGGTTCGGCCTCATTTCCTCTGTGCTGCGCTGACGAGTCCACAAAGGACGAAACAGTTCTGTCCGCAGATTGAGTATAATTATTATTATATATATATACACACAACAACAAGGTTGTCAATTTCATAATACTAAAAGCTTTTCACCCATTTTCATCAGTAGTTACATGGGAATGAGCAAGAACGAAAACGAAGCCAGAATTTATACTGGGGGTAGAGAATCAGCAAGAATATTCTTACGCGCCTCAAGTTCACACTACACTACCATAAGAATGTATGGAGCAGTGGAAAAATGCGGGAAACAACACATGCGGGGGATGCAGTACCAGAACAAACACGTGATAAAGTTGTCAGTCCGGTTGCAGCTTGAACAGCCGTAGCACCTTGATGTGCTTCTTTCGTCGACACAGTTCTGGCCTCAAACTGCGAATGTACAGCGCCTCCAGTGTGAATCGGTGCGCGCACAAAGACCTACTCTATTAACTTTTGTAGTACTGTGCACCGTGTGGTAGTCATTACTCCAGTACTCGATGAGTAAGACATTGTCACACACAGTGCCCATACAGGATGCTGCTACACATACCGGCACACACACACAGACAGCATACACTGCTGTGAGTACACAGGCAAGCACAACACCATGCACGGATAATGTACGGGCGTTACTCTCAGTGAGCCGATCAACATCCGGGAGCTTCGGAGATGAGACCGTGCGCAACTGCCCGTGTATGTGCAGAACATGAACTGTAGAGGTGACTGGGCAAGAATCAGCCCCGTTCTCTCTATCTCTCTCCCCCCAGAACATACCAACTTGGTGGTACCTTGAAATTCATTTTCAGAAAAAACTTCAGCATGACATTATGTCTCCAGAGGGAGAAAGTTACCACTTTCGCAACACATTTTCGGGACCAGAGCCCCCCGCCCCCATCGTTTATGCTTACCAGCAAAGTCTTTCTCCAGCTTTACCCCTCTCTGCAGTACAATACTGTACATGATGGCCAGCACTACGTACACAACGATGCAAACAGTGTTACTCCACCAGATGATCTGTTACACACACGCACACACACACACACGTACACACACGTACACACCCGCGCACACATGTACACACATGTACACACATGTACACAAATACGTATACACACACATGCCCGCGTACCCATGCACAACATTTTATTGCAAAGTCCCAAGAAAAGTTGAACAGCAAGCTAAGCATTAGGAGATACTGGTAGTTTTAGGCGTGCTTAGGCTAGACGGAATAAGAACACTTCTCTCTGCACAGGATGGAGCTAATCCCGTGGCAATCCTCAAAACGACAGTGTCACAGAGGTGGTGTTCAGATATCAGTGTATGTGTATGGTGAGTGTGAAGGTAGCTAGTGTCAAGCTTGTTTGGCACACATGAACATACAAACTGTAATATTTAAAGTGGTTAAAGGCAAATTCAAATTCAAATCAGATACATGCACATCAAGGCTTGCTGCAAGAAAGCAACATCAGTTGCAATGGGTGAAACAGAATCATTGTGTTACCCTCAAAAGAAAGCCTGAAGTTGGACCTACCGGATTTCCGAGCAGATAGACACGTATTGTGTTGTTAGCGCCGCCACTAAATACCTGACCCTGGAACAGGAGATACAAAGACAAACAACAGCACACACATGCACACACATGCACACATACACATATACACACAAACACATACATCCACACACAGAAACACACCCACACACACACAGATGCACACATATACATCCACACACATCCACATCACATAGTCAAAACAGATTAGCACCTGTGGGGTCCAGAAGCAGACTTGTTCACTGACATACAAAATATAGAGTACACGAAGGACGAAGCAGTTCTGTCCGCAGATTGAGTACACACACGCACGCACGCACGCACACACACACACACAGTAACACTATACACTGGGATCTTGTCCATGTCATTGCGCTGGTGGTTTCAGGATCAAAATCACAGTTCTTGTCGCCGTTTTTGTTTGAGTTGCGACAATAACCTTTAAAAAGCTCTGTTTCGCTTTGTTATATGCTGGATGACGCAAACGCAGCAGCATTGAAAAATAGTGCCCTCTCTTGAATAGTACAGGGATGCAGTGAATGGGATTTCGGTCTTTGACCAATTTGTGGTGGGTCTGATCTACTCACCTCCCACCGCTTAGGAGCTGCATCTGCGCCTTGATCCTAGAGGGTGGTGGCGTTCCTGCGGATGCGGAAAACTCGGCTTCCAGCCGTGTCTCACGCGAATCGTGATTTTTAGAATTTTTTTGGATAGTACCTCATCTGTGATGGGCACAGAAAAAATAGTGCCCCAGGGGCACTAATCGAGTGAGTACGGTAAGGTGTCAGGGCAGTCCTACCTGGTAGTTGATAGGCCACATCCATGGTCTTGACGTCACTTCATTAGCTTTCGGCTTGAAGCCACTGTTTGTCTGTGCAAAGGCAAGGGAAGATAGTGATAGAGAGAGAGAGAGAGAGAGAGAGTGTGTGTGTGTGTGTGTGTGTGTGTGTGTGTGTGTGTGTGTGTGTGTGTGCGTGTGTGTGTGTGTGTGTGCGTGTGTGCGTGTGTGTGTGATCAAGTGAGTGATCAAGCGATTGAGGAAGTGAGTGTGTGTGTGTGTGAGAGAGAGAGAGAGAGAGAGAGAGAGAGAGAGAGAGAGGGAGAGAGAGAGAGGGAGAGATAGATTGATAGAGGAAGAGCAGGGGGAGGGAGGGAGTGGAACAAGAAATATAATGGTCAAAGATGAGAAAAGTTAACACGATAGCCGTAATCAATAAGACAACGCAAACAAGCATTCTTTCCAGTTTCTTGCTCAAACTCAACCGATTTCCAAAATTCAAACTGCACCGAAAATCTGAGATCCATGCACTTCTTCTGATGCTCATGATGCATGCCATGTGCCTTAGGGAAATCTCCTCGCACTCTAAAAAAACTGCAGTCGTGACCAAGAAGATCGTGAACACGCAGTGCCATAATTTCTGTGTTCGACGCCGCTCGGTCCATCTTTGTCCAATTCCAAAGAACCGTCAACAGAAGAACAATTCAGATAAGCATAGCCAGTAGCTGGCACGGCAATGCTTATCAGAGCTGTTCTGTGGTGTGCTGAAGGAGTTGAGCACACATACGAATTATTTCCGGTCTTACCTGAGCCATGACAACATGTGATTCGTACATCTTGTCCAGCAAGCCTGGTCTAAGTGTCTCCAGGGTAGCATTGGGTACTGCAGTAGACACGGTACATACAGGAATATACAGTTGGAGGAAACGAGCAATGGTGACTGCAAAGGAGACTCAAACGGTCTCAATTTCTTCTGTACAATATTGTACATATACCTACCTTAACTCGGATAATGAGCCAGTAAAACATGTAAAATAGAAGAATAAAACACAAGGAAACGAGTTATCAAGCAACTATCCACGACTGTAACAAAGATGATAAGCAGTCATAAAGTGTGATAACAGGGTACCCACTTTAGCTCGTGAATAAAAAGTTACTACGTGTTTGCCTGTGGCAGATTTACTTCTAGGCAGGGTTTCGGTCCTAGTGATGGTCAAACAGGCAGCAATGAACTGCAGCGTTTAGTCCAGGTAGAATCCATATCTAATGCTTGGATTGAAACCAACCGATAATGGTGTGCTCAATTTCAGTTTGTCTGCCTCTGTAATTCCAATGGCACAACATGCCTCGAACACTCCACTACTCCACACTGTGCTCTTGGCCCACATTCACAACAGGAATTCACAGGAGTTGGTCGCCGCTTCCACGCAGGTTGACATGCCTGATAACTATGATACTCACAATGTTTGTTCTCATGTCCTTCGACAAGCCACATGTTGGCAATGTTGTTACGGAGCTTTGGATTACAAGACACTTCTTTCTGCTCCCATCCCCTGCATAACAATTCACATGCACGCACACGCACGCAGACATGCATGCACACATACACACACATACACACACACACACACACACACACACACACACACACACACACATACACACACACACACACACATGTTCAACACGGTTAGGCACTGTATCTGCCGTTGAGTTATTCCAGCGTTATTCCAGTGTGACCGCACGGTCCGAAAAGACAAAGAAGAAACAGCTCCAATGGATACAGAGCAACATGAGAAATACAAGAATGTGCCTTTCCCTTACCATTTGGGTAGCTGTTTGGATGATGAATGCAGAGCACACTGGGATATATTGTGCACTAAGATGATTCGAGACTTGAGAACCTTGATGTGGCGACCCACATCTGGCGACACAAACGGCGAGCCGTTGCCAGAAGACCCCACCTGGACCTGCCATACATCGTTCATGTCACCCGTACCATTCTGAAACAGCAGCCACAAGCCAATAAACCCATTTGCACATTGCCAAAATATGGACTACATGAGTACTGCATGCGAGTATGGTGGGATTAACAGCGCACTGCTTTACACCCCACACGACCATGCCAAGGTGGCTGTGGGACGTGTTTATGGTGCAAACGAAGTCATTGTGCAATGGGTTTATGAGAATAAGATGTTGTTCAGGTACGTTAGATGTCTCCAAAGTCCTACTCGATCATTACACATGACAGTGACTGATAGAATGGACTATGTGTCCAGCCATGGTGATGGTATGAATGGCCGCTGCTTGCTCTGTCCCGTTCTTGTGATCAAGCGAAGCCAGCACCATTACAGCCACACTGCCGTGAGGTATTACACAAATTGCCCCCCCCCCCGCACAGTGTCCATGTAGCAGGATTATTGAACAGTGGACAGTGTGTTGCTTACAGTATTGTGTGCATCGGCCAAACAGCATGTTTATGTACTTCAGACGTATACTATGGTCAATTCACCACAGGTAGAGAGTTAGATCAATATGGTGTACTATTAGAGAGATTGGGAGGCAACAACATTGATTTTATTAATTTGTTGGCTTTGGAAATTTCTCGTTAAGGTGTCCCAGAATCCGTGAAACAGTTAGTCATGGCACTGGCAATGATGTTTGCAAGTGACAATGGACAATGCAATGATTGTCAAAGATACTGTACGACCATACCACCACCATAACCCCACCGCCATACCGCTGTCACCCCCCCCCCCTCCCCCTCCCCCGTCCTGCCCTACAGGAAGGTTCTCGAGATCGGAACGGCCAAGGCATAATAGAGGGTGCCACCACTGATTACGTGCATTGGGCAAGTTTCCATGAGCAGAGGTGAAAAGATCACACTTACAAATCCATATCCGGTGACTTGGTAGTGTTTGGTGGAGAGAGGAGCCTTGTGGTGGTGAGAGTGGAGGAGACGACGCGTCCTGAAACCAAACACAAACAATAGGAAATCTTGACAGCTACCACAAACATGATACGATATTATAACTATCACAGTACATTAGTCTACTATTTTAGGAGCATTGGAGGTTTTCTATGAGGGAGTCATTGGAGTCATTTCGGGTACAGCTTGGAGAGGGATAGTGTCTCCACTGTACCACATTTTCCAAGCAAAGACAATACAGCAGGGATAACACAGGACAATGATGAAGAATACATGCATGCCTGTACGCTACCACTGGGTTGTGCATAGTAACAATCCAGAAAAAGGGGCGATCCCTATCGTAGTCACCATCAAGACTAAAACGACAAAAAACGACTATGCGTATCTTATTCCAGTTCAGACCTTTGTAGAGGGCACTTAGCTAATTCATTACACATCATCCATGGCTAAGCTTGTGTAAAGAAAAGATCATTATAGGGGAAATCACTGGTTTTGTTAGAATACATGAACTCAGATGGCGACCGTAGGCTATATTTAGCAGGAACGAACGCATAAATTTACCCTCCCCCCTCCCCCTCATGTTCCCTCGTTTTTGCTAGAATATTTCACAATATCCCTGTTATCAACACACTCACGAAGCATGCTCCAGTCTGATGAAGTCTCCATGCGACACAAACTCCGGTGCTGATCCATCTACAAGAAGAGGATGTAGAATACACAGCACACAGCACACAACCCACAGTGCACAACACGCAGCACACACAACACAGCAAACACAACACAATACAGCACAAGCGGCACAAACAACACAGCACCCAGCAAACACAAGGCGAACACAATACAGCACACAGGAGACAGCACAGTGAGCACACGACTGATTCTCTGGTGGGATTGTTACGATGGCTGGCAATACAACATAATACGCATACATCATGCTACGTTTTACAGCATTGCGCTCCTCAGTGCCAGTGTAAAAACTCCACCGGCTAACCCACAACTCACTCGCATGTCACCAGAAAAGGCGGGCATTATTTAGTCCCAAGACACGTTAAAAGACTCAAACAAAGATTGGCACCATGATGTGCCTAGCTGCACGTAGTGGTTAAACAGACAAAGTCTAGCCAGTCGCCAAATTGCATGAGCGGGAGCGGGGTGCCCACAGCATGCATAGGGATTGCCGCACTGAAGGGCACTTTGTCAGACATATATATCCGACACACACGATGCTGGCTGCAGTAATGCAGATGAATTTATCACAGGCGGGTGGGAAATTGAATACGTGACGCCTGTTCTTGCAAACCCAGGTTGCCATTGTCTTCAGACAGCGCCCTACACCGCAGGCTAGAACTTTAGTGTAAAGATTAGGGCTCAAACGGTTAGTCCGGTTAACCGGTTGCAGACCGGTTACGAAGAATTAACGGTTAACCGATAAAGATAACGGTTACACAGTAACTTTTCAGTCAATTTTTCAAGTATCAGGTCGTTGCAAAGTGTGCACTTTCGCAGGCTGTCGCACGCGTACGCAATTTCTGGGCTGTCAACTCGGTCATATCTGGTCTCTTGGTGTGAGAGTATGTATGAATGAGCATGCAAGAGAATGTACAAGTGTGCGTTGTACTGAATAGGGTACATTTTTTGAATGAGGACTCGTATAGTCAAATATACGGTTAAAAAAGAGTCCGCAGGATTGCCGTGGCTTATAATATAGGTTATAACCGGTTAACCGACCGTTAGCTTAGCAGTTAACCGTCAGGGGTAAAACCGTGACCGTTTGAGCCCTAGTAAAGATCTTCACCGCAAGGTAGATATTTGGACAAAGACAATACGACTGCTAAGATTAGAATGCATAGTTTTATAGCTCAGAGCCAAACGTTAGAAAGTCTGGTTCTTGCAAGCTTGTGGCAAGGGAAAACCCCCACGGGATAGATTGCTTAGCAATGCCACACCTACCAGTGTCTTGTGTGTGTGAGTGTGCTTTACGCACAACCCACTTGTTGTTCTCATCGCGATGATGATACACAGTGATCTGCACAATACACAGTCAAAACAGTGCAAAAAAATTCATTAGCTGCTAAGCAGATAAACACTGAAGATTGCCCCCCCCCCCCTTCCAGTCGCACAGTTAAAGGGGAAGTTAAGGCAAAAATTAAAATTTCACCAGTTGTAGTCTTCGGGGTGCTGAGTCGAATGGTCTTGGTCCGAGAAAGCTGAGACGCTCCCTTCCTACTTGAATCCCAATCGAACTCGCGCACTTCCACCGAAACTGGGTGACTGCGCCCTACGAGATGGGGATTTGTATGCAAAATGTCACTAAAAGCGCCATTTCGTTCTTATAAAAGCACGGATGACCGCGATTGGCCCATATGTTGTAGTCTTTTGGACGCTGAGTCGACTGGTTTTGGTCCGAAAAGGCTGCGATGCAGCGTTCCTCCTTTATTCCCAATCGAACATGGTTGAAGAAGCGGTCACGTGCTCCTGGGTGCCAAAATCACCTGGTCACCACGCCAGCAGGCGACAACTTTCACACCAAGGTTCAACTCGAGTGACAGGACTGCACCCAAAAAAGGTCAAACAGGCTGTAAGTTGTACCCTGCAGGTACGGTGACCAGGTGACTGGTGTACGCAGGAGCACGTGACCGCTTGTTCAACCATATTCGATTGGGAATTAGGGGCGAACGCTACATCGCAGCCTTTTCGGACCAAAACCAGTCGACTCAGCGTCCAAAAGACTACAACATATGGGCCAATCGCGGTCATCCGTGCTTTTATAAGAACGAAATGGCGCTTTTAGTGACATTTTGCATACAAATCCCCATCTAGTAGGGCGCAGTCACCCAGTTTCGGTGGAAGTGCGCGAGTTCGATTGGGATTCAAGTAGGAAGGGAGCGTCTCAGCTTTCTCGGACCAAGACCATTCGACTCAGCACCCCGAAGACTACAACTGGTGAAATTTTAATTTTTGCCTTAACTTCCCCTTTAAAGACCTTCACACACTAGCTTAAAAGGAGCATTATAACCCTGACAAAAACGTGGCCACGGACAGCTGAGCCCCGAGCGGTCGGAACTATGTGTCACTATGCGTCACTCTAGCCTTTGCGGAGACTATCTCATTATGCCGAATGAACACACAGGACAAAATCTGTATTTCTCCCCGTTAGAATATTTCTACTTCCTCCGCGTCATCGAAATTGTCGCAGTTTGACTTTTGACATAAAACGGGGTATTTACTCACCAGCACTCGTAACACAGGCAAGAAATCGGACATAGGCGATAGTCATCAGTATAGGGTGACGGCAAAGTTCTATTTTCTGTTATTGGAAGCTGAAATATTTGAACTAGACGCAATTTCTTCGCTGATGTCGCTGCGATGGTAATTTAGACTCGCTGAGATCAGTCAGGCGTTGCAGCCTGCACATTTCTCGTGCTTATGGCCATTCACTCAAGCCTCATCACTGTTTTACCTTAGCTGGGGAGAGAATGACTTCGTGGAACAAGTGGCAGCGCTTGGAGAAACATCGAGGGGTCAGCAAACTAAATGCATGCAACAGCAATAAAATTTGTCGCTCTGGCTGAGACTCTCAGTACATGATTGTACCTGCAAGAGCCGTGTAGACTCTGCACGTAGTGCTAGTGATGCACGCGCAGGTGCCGTACCAGTGATGCTGAAAAAGAGGGCGCGCTGGACGTGATAGTACACTTAACTGCATGAGCTGTGACCACACAGCTAAAATAAATGGGCATACCACGGCTAAAAATAGGTCATTTCAAGATAGAGGTGATTCCGCAGACGGTAATCAACCGACCTCGCAGCGATCATGTATTCATAATTCGTTGGTGGTGAAGTAGAAATCATCCAGAGCTAGCAGTCGACAAGCATAGCAGCTCTTGTCCTGTGGAGAAAGTCAAAGCGTTTGAGATGAGGCGCGACCAACTTTCAACCTTCCTTGAAATATTTCGGGAACAATATTTTTGCCTCCATTGACATCAGCGACGACGAGGACTTAATCTCTGCGTGAAAACTCTCAGTCCAACTGTCCTGGAACGTTACTCTAGTCTTCAGACTATCATACTGTGTAATAAGTTTTGAATGGTTTAGCTTATGGAGTTGTCAGTAACAAGTGACAAGTCACTAGTCAAACTGCGACAATTTCGATGATGTGGAGGAAGTAACTTCATACTGAAAGCCGATTCCAGAGTGGTTTCTTGTTCACTTCACTAGCAATATGGCAGCGTCAGCCACTCCTGGGAGACTTTATAGGGCAGGGTCAGCCACTCTTCGGAGACCTTAAATGGATGAAAGGGAGTTATGAACACACAAGAAGGTAAGCAGCAGCATACCTCTGTTGACAACATGGACAGTATGGATATATCAGACGATGAGCAGCTAACATGAGGCAAGGGTTACGGCCGCAGTATTGAACCTAGCGTATTTTCGGAAAATAGTGCCGGTCTTTTACTACGGCCTGTCTGAAATAAGCGCAGCATCATTTCAGGGCTTTCGTGTGGATTATATTCAAATCGGGTGAAAGTTTAGAGAGCTTGCAGACTACTAAGCGCCTTGGCCATTATTGCCAAGTACGGTATGTGCAGCAGACACCACCGGCTACAGGTTATGAACATGTTAGATGTGCTGCTGCTGGTGTCAACCCCGTTTGGTAGATGAACCTACCTGCTGTTGTCTTGCACCAATACCATCCGGGTAGAGGTGTGCATGGGAGTGTAAGAGACCACCCGCTATACGAGCATTACGCAGTGTGATGACTGATCCATATGCAATTTCTGGAGCAAACAGTTAGAGAGAGAGAGAGAGAGAGAGAGAGAGAGAGAGAGAGAGAGAGAGAGAGAGAGAGAGAGAGAGAGAGAGAATGCGAGAGAGAGAGAGAGTGCGAGAGAGAGAGAGTGTGTGTGTGTGTGTGAGAGAGAGAGAGAGAGAGAGAGAGAGAGAGAGAGAGAGAGAGAGAGAGAGAGAGAGAGAGAGAGAGAGAGCAGACCACTCTCAAAGAGAAAACAAGAAGACTGGCAAGAGGACTCTCGACTACAAGATCGCGCATGCTCATATCACACATGCACGCGACTAGACGAAGACAGTTGGGGGAATGTCATCACTGAGGAAAACAACACAATCACTATACAACAGGGGTGGCAATGCAAAATTCCCAGGTCCTATCTCAGCCACATCTGAAAAGCAGCAGAGCAAGTACACACATGATGGTAGCACCTACCGGGTGGCACTGTGCAGTTACTAATACTGTTACCATCCAAAGTAGCCTGAAATGCTGAGCTGAAGAACGCATCACCATTACCACTGCACATTTGAACAGGATAATAAAAGGAGAAAGTATAGGTGGCAATGTCGCTAGCAGTACAAGCCTCTACCAGTGAATGTGAACCTATTCAAAACTGCCGGAGAAATATGGGTTTAGATACAGATCACGCATAAAAATTGTATCGCTTTTTGGCAATTATCCGACAAGTAGTGAAATGGATTATAGCGTTTTGTAATCAAGCTATTCAGTTTCTCTCTCTCTCTCTCTCCCTCTCCCCCCCCCCCCCCCCCCCGCTCTCTCTCTCTCTCTCTCTCTCTCTCTCTCTCTCTCTCTCTCTCTCTCTCTCTCTCTTCTGTGTGTCTTACCTATTCTTCAAGACTTGGAAGTGGATAAGGAAGAAAAGGATATAGACACTGATTGGAATCGAGATCAGACAAACACACCGAGCCGCAAAGTGACCCAGGAGTACTCGCTGCAATGGAAAAACAAAAAGAGAAGTATTCACTGGTTTGAGGGAAAGATGCAAACGGGAAAACGGCGAATTTCAGTGGAAAATACTAGTACTCTGTCACTTTTTTGTAGAAATTATCATTATTATTATTTGCTTGTTACCGTTGACATCACCAAGCAAGCTTTGCTAGTCTTCGCATAAGCCAAATGAACTGAAGAAATGAGGAAATAATGACGTTATATGCCATATCTATGGCCTTTCCCCCTTTAAAATGTATGTGATTGTGAGTTAAGGACATTTCAAAGTTACCGGCAGTGCTCGGTCCGGGGCCGCCTGGATAGAAGAGGTATGACTGAATTACAGCATGTCGCCTAACTGTAAATCCGAGATCTGATACTCAGCTTCACTAACACCAGTGACCAAACAATGGTTAACACAGCCATATATAGCCCAGTGGTCAGTGGATAAGTACACCTCAAACTAGAAATTAGCATTGCCAGCACACTAAGTCAACAAATCTTCGGCTCCTATTAATTTTATTTTCGGCCTGATCATATTTGGACGAAAGAATTTTGCAGCCGAAATTTAATAATCGCTAACACGCTAAACTAGTTGGCACACCGACAATCCACACAAGCACTCACGCACGCACACATGCCAGGGGCGTCGGACACGGTACGGTCACTACGGTATTGACCGTACCACCTTTTGCCCCAGGTACCCCGTGAATCAATAAAATACACTGACCTGGGCTCTAAATTTCCAAAATTTTTCCGCTCAGCCATCCCTTCCCCACAAGTAAATTGTACTTCAGATGGCTGACCGTACCACACTAAAATACCTTCCAACACCCCTGCATGCACACACGTGAACACACACACACACACACCTGACCTTTGACGCCCATCGCCGGAGGCGATGATAGCAATGCTATGGCAGAAGCCATAGCAACTTGTGCTGGGATTGCACCATTCAACAGCTTGCAAGGCTGAAGAATTGACCGTCACTATTCAGCCTGGTCTACACCATACAGCTATTTGAAGTGAGTTTTTTTGGCCAGTGAATCCCTTTTTTTGGTCTTTTTTCTTTTTTGGTCTTTTTTTTCTTTTCTTTTTTTTCCACACACACATCTCACCACATACTCCGGCATGCACTGGCTGTTGGTAACCACCCAGGAGAATGAAAGAAAAGTCAGGAAGAGTCTGAGAAAGAGAAGAAAGACGTGTGTGACCATAATCGTCGGGAATCGAACCCGCAATCTATCGATTGGAAATCGCTGCACATACCACTGCACCATATGGGACACACACACACACACGCACACATACACACACTGGGACACACGTGCATGGACAAACACACACATACACACACACGCACACACACACGCACACACACGCATACAGACCGATACATGCCAACTAACCGCTCCATTCTTGACATCAAGCAGTACGTCCCAAAGCTCGGACACAGTTGACAAGCCCACAAGTAGGACAATGAAGAGGCCGACCCACTTGACGCTAGGCACAGGAATTAGTCAATACAGCATTGTCTTTATGGAAAAGCACAGCACACGGCCACACAGCTGGTATACAGTCAGACCTCACTTATCCGGTCCTCTTTTATCTGGATCCCTCGCCATCCGCAAGAAAATAGCTGGTTACAGATTTACATCATACGTAATGCATCCAACATAACTGGTGTTCGGTTATCCGGTTCCCTCGCCTATCCGGATATCTTGTGGAAAACGGATGTGTGCGGTTAAGCGAGGTCTGACTGTATCCCCTTGCGAGGGGATACAGTCAGACCTCGCTTAACCGCACACATCACGAAGCCAGAGAGAGGACATGTTTCCGAAATAGCTAACCTTATTGCACATCCCAGTGATAAACCAGTCAAGGAAAGCCAACACCACCATCCCACCGTGAATGACCTGGACAGGAACAGAACACAGGGAGATTTGAATAGCAAACACTAGTCAGCATTACAGTGGACCAGGGCATTTCATGTCAGCCCTGAGCACCATGCGACAAGCTATTGTTACATGACTGAACTGTGGTCGAACACTATGGGAAAATGAAATGTTTTTCCAGGGTATTGCCAATTGATGCCTCTAAGTTGTAGGTTTTGAACACTTTTACCCATGTTTACCTTGACTCTTCAGTGCTGACTCGGATTTTCATAACGTCCCTTTATTACTACTAGCCCTGAGATATGCAACAAAAGTGACCGTCCTGAAGCTGCAAAAGCGCATAGCCCTCACCTGTGCTGCAGATGGTAGGACTGTGTCTTTGCCATGCAGAGTACAGCAAACATGATGAACACCAGCAGCACTGGATCTAGTAGTATGTACTGTGATATAGTCAACAAACCAGTGTCTGCATAAACAAACCAAACAAGCAAACCGAATCGCAGAGGACTTGGAAAGAACGGACACAGATGTTGCAGCTGTGATACATAAAAGAACAGCTGCGGTGCTTTTGACAACAGAACCGTATATCCCGGAGTATAAGCCGCAATTCGAACACTCATAATTTACCCCCCCCCCCCCCAAGGCAGGGCAGCCTATAAAACTGTCGTGGACATGGAAATCCGGTCGCACGTCTAGCGGCCCCAGGGTGTGCTGGCCATGCAGCCGTGGGTTACAGTACACACATGCAAGACATTGCACTACAGTCAAAAAGGGGTGGCATCATTCTGTACATCACCAATATATAAGTTGGCTTTCCGCACCATGCAGCTTATCACCCATTGTAAGGGACTGCGTCACTAATGACTCACTATAAACAAGGCACCCTTACCGAATATCATCCAGACAGCCGTGAGGAAGGAAGCACCTGTTGAGCCGGTCATTTCACCCACAGTCAGGTAAGCAAGAGGTATACACAGGGTGCCACAAGCGGCACAGAACTGCAGCGTAGACGCATACACAGAAACACAACACAACACAGGTAACATTAGAGCAACAGCAGAACTGCAGCATAAACACTAAAACACGAGTAATATTGGAGTAGGCGATTGCTAAAATAGAGTTCAAGTATGCAAGTCTGAAAAATATGTGGAAAAAGACTCTGTTTGGATATCAAGTACTTACGCAATAGTTCAGGGGCTAGTAACAATGGTCCCTGATTTGTATCCTATTGGTGAGAGTTAAAATTTCCTCCGGACTTTTTATTCCCTCAAAGTAATGAAGATAGAAGAATTGTGTTTATACTGTGGTGATGTCACAAGTCCAGCCCAGAGGTGAAAAGACTGTGCAACGACAGCTGGATAATGAGAATGGAAAATACTGTTTTCCTCTATTTGTCTGTTTAGAACAAGAGCACTGGAGAAATGGGGACGTTCAAATAGAAATCCTCAACATCCAGTGCACACCAAACTTACCAGTCTCATGCCATAATAGGACGTGTTGCCATAGAGATCGGACGGCTTGTCAAATGCGAACGTGCCATCATAACCAGATTGGTAACCAGCCAGTGCAATGGCCATCTGAACACACGCAGTAGAGCTACACATGTCAGTCTTAAAGAGGGGAAAACCCCATGGCTGCCCCACGCAGTCGGATGTCATTGAGCAGAACTATATTTCAGGCGAAATTCAACATATCAATCACTCTGGATATCAAAGCTCTCAGCCTTCAGTAGCCAATTTCAACAATCGACTCTCAGAGAAAGAAGGAGAGAGAACGAAAGAGAGACTGGGGGAGAGAGAAAGAGAGAGAGAGAGAATAGGGAGGTTTTGCTCTACTTAATTACGTATAAAAATCCGTATATTGTATGCGCCGGGGAGCAAGGGCAACTTTCAGACGTAAATCTCTCTATGGATATCCACGGGAAAGGTCTTTTCCACGTTTGGCCCTCCGTTGCACCTTTCGAAACGTTTGTTGCATCATCTGCATTCATCCATGGCAATGTTTAAGCCGTGAGAAACACATGGTACACAACGTGTGGAAAACAAGGTGGAGGACATGGTTTCGGTTTGTGGTGCATGTGGTGGGCACAAACAACCGATGTGTCTCCAATGCAATATCAATTATATCATATGCTTAGCGGTCGTGAAAAAATCACGTAGACCGAAACCCGACAGCGCTGATTTTGACGTATGAAATCACGTGCAGTTTCTACGTTATTTCCTTGCGTAATTATGTAGAACGAAACTTCCCCCTTGAGACGAGCGAGACAGGTAGTGAGAGAACGGGAGAGAATGTGTCAGAACGACAACCCCCCCCCCCCCCCCCACACACACACCTGTACGGATGCACAAACACAGCTCATGTTTGACAAAAAGCCATTGTGTCAAATCATGGAACTAGAAGAAAATGGAACTAATCACCCTGAAATGGCTTGTTGTAGACCATTATCCATTCCTAGGTTTGATCACGGATGCTGTAAAAGCCATTATTCCAACGAGCCGCATATATAACGATTTCCTAAAATTGACCGGTTTACGTGTGCCAAAGGTAACGATACTCGCTCACTCTCAACGCTCACTAGCAACACTACAGGTGGAATCCTGATAATTCGAACATACCGCTTAATTAGAAGTTTTTCCAGGACCGATTTCTGTCAATACGATTACCACATAAAATTTTCTGATAATTCGAACCTTGAACCAGATATGTCCGGTTTATTCGAAGTTCCACGGATTCCACTTATATAGAAAATGTGTGGGATTTGTGCTGATAATTCGAAGTTCGCAAAGTGTAATTCGAAGTCCACTGTACACTGTACTGGTCAGTTCAGTTTGCATGAGCAGGCTGTGCCGGTCAGTTCAGTGTCCGTAAAATCTGTGTCTAAGGTCCATAGCGCAACTGTGCATGACCATGAGAGCATTTTGATATACATAATTGTGTTGTGGGTTCATGTTTGGATAATTAGAATATCCGGCTAATTAGAAGTTTTTCCTGGCATTTCGAGGTTCGAATTATCAGGATTCCACCTGTATTACTGTGTAACGTTTTCTTTTATAACGACAGATTTCTCCTCGTTAACTTGTCAGATTTAGCACTTCGTTATATATAGGGCTTTTACAGTAGATCATACCTTTCCAAGAGGCGGGTGCACATCGAGAAAGAATGTGCGGTTGATGTAGTAGCTAGCAAACTTGCCAAAGTGAGTCTCGTCCCACCTGTAAGTCGCATAATTAACCATAAAAGGTACACAGCTCTAACAGCAGCCAGTGATTGCAGTATCACAAATGCTGCATCAGGGCCACTTGATGATGAAGAACACAATATTTGCATGTACGCCGAGGGAACACAGAACGCTGCAAAGTGTGTGCTGGCGTGGACTTGACTCCTGCGATCATACTTCATTGAGCAGCAGCGCTGTGGCTGTCCAAGTGGCACATGCAACTACAGTCGGCACCAGCGGATAATGCTCGAAAAGGTGGCAGATTCTGCTCGAAAAGCAGTGAAATTGGCAGAACCACACAAACCCTATGGCGGGCAATTCCTCGAATTCTGCTCCACTTCTTTATCCACATACCAAACATGCATGAAACTTACCAGGAAAAGTACCGAATTCTGCCAATTTTTCTGCCGGCAGAATCCGCATATGCCTGAACTACAGTACTGCTCAGTGAATTACACTGTGATCATGTAAGTCAACTAGCCGCGTACTCTGTGTTGCTCCTGTCCTGTGGACACTGGGCTATATACAGATCATGAGAACGGGACCCGATACAACTGAGCACAAGTACAGAAGAACTACGAAGTCGAAACGCAGCTACAGTTGAACATCGATTATCCGACCACCTCTGGGCAGACAACTGTCAGGCGGTGTTCAGATAAGGCAAATGTTCCGGATAAGAAAAAAAACTGTCACTCACACACTTTCAGTGGTTATTACTAGCCGCACGACCTTTTTACTTTTTACTTTTCAAAAATTTCGTATGCTCACTACATGCACGGTGCGTACTCTACGGCACGTGCGCCCAAAAAAACTGAAACGGATAATCGAATGGTCGGATAGTCGATGTGCGGATAATCGATATTCAACTGTACTCCCACATACTTTCCAGAAAGTGTAAGGAACGCAAGGACGTCGTTCAGCAATCTTGATGGACAAAGGCCATAGATCAGAGGTACACATTCTGTTTAGGATCCAGTCCTGGTGTTGAGCAAAACATACTTTGAAGCCTACTCTGGCTCATGGCAACACAATAACATTCAATCCACATTCTACGCAAAGCTAGACATTCTCACCGAGTCACTTCCTTGCACTCATCGGATTTCGGCTACATCTACTCGATACGACTCACGGGATCGAGCAATGCTACATGTTCCATGTGCTTGTGAGCACCTCAAGCTGACAAACTGTAACTCCAGTGTCTTTCCATCATCATGATTTTTGATGTGTGATGTATTCTCATTGAGGCCTCACTGAGGTCTAACGACAAGATTGAGAAACCAAGCGTAGGCTACAAACACTGATATCGTCGCGTATAAAAGCCAGGCTCATTCCTATAGAAGCCGACATCACGGATAAGACACTTCTATTGGAATCAGACCTGCATTCAAATTAGGTGTATCTATGTAGGTCGACACTAAAACCAGGTGTATTAACCCTTTCAGCACGGCCAGGGTGTGCAACTGACCCGCGGAGCCAAAACCAGTGATTTTCGTGATTTTCCAAAAGTAGTCCTATTCACTCACAATTTTTTCTGCGGAATGCATGTTCGCACGCGACATCTATGTACTAGTACGCGTGCATAGCGGCACACGTGCGCCCGTCAGTACTATCGTAGAACAGTCGACGTTCATCCAGCACGTCACTGGTCCACGTAGAGATAAGATCCGTCGACCACGGATGTCTCGGGAGTACGTTCATTTTCACTGTACGCATCACGTATATATACGTGATCCGTGGGCCAGTTACATGTACCATCACGTACATATACGTGATGCGTGCTGAAAGGGTTTAAGTGTCGACCGCATAGCGTGAAAATCTGGCTTCCATTCAAACCAGGCTTCGATATGAGACAGGCTTTTACTCGTATTCAATACACTGCAATATTCGTTACCTAAACCTTTATAAAGTTCAGGGATTTGAACGTATTGACAATAAATTACGAATTTTTACTGCACGCTCACTGCGGGTTGCTCTGGTGGTTGCGCTTCTCAAAAAACGTACAGCTGATGGTAAAGTGGACGTGCAAACTTACGTTGAATGCCAGTATCACATCAGTCAGTATTGTGCTACTGGTTGCACCTTCTGACTACACAACATCTTTCTTATAACTGTTAGTGTTGGACACCAACTACGGATAACATGTGACATTTTGGTCCTTTGCTCTCCATCCGAGTGTTACCTGCAAACTTTCTTTTTTACTCACTGCGTACCGCTATGAGTGCACATGTAAATATAGCGCACAGTTGCTCCGTGTATTTCTCCACATTGATTGAGCAAATGAGGTGCACTGCGAGCTTGTGTTAACGTTAATCTGACAAGTGTGGTAGTCAGACCTCGCTTATCTGGTTCTCTTTTATCCGGATCCCTCGCCATCTGGAAGAAAACCGTTGGTTACCGAGTTAGAGCATATGACTGTCCTACATACATACAGTATGTGTGCTCGATTATCCGCATCCCTCGCCTATCCGGATATTTTAGTGGAAAACGAATTTGTGCGGTAATGCGAGGACCAACGCATATGGCTGATTGGTTTGCAGGCCTGCCTGCGAATCATGAGGTCCCGAGTTCGAGACCCGCGCTGGTAGCAGGGAGCGTGTAGACTTTTTACGTGAGTAAAGACTTTTATGCGTCGTGAACTGCGCCGACACCCACGGTCAACTGGGTACTCACAGCTTGGAGTGAGGGTAACAGGGATGCAGTTTACAGGGTTATGGGCCGTTACACGCCCGATTGGTTGAGAGACTCACCTACTCTCCCCTGACTCACTTGTGAGGTCTGCATTCGCCACTAAGGTGTGCAAGGCATAGGCATAGTGGTGGCCTGCGGAAGCGAAGGCTAGTTTGTGTGTTTCTGAACATTCAAGCGATACCAACGCGAATCCCGCGAATTATTATTATTATTATGCGAGGTTTGACTTTCCAATGCCCCCCCCCCCCCCCCCCGACTCCACTTCCCTGCCAGTATCACACATAAACTGTAGTGTGCACTAGTACATGCAAATCTATTTATTTATTTATTTCAACTTCCAATGGCCTGGCTGCCAATTCAGTGATAACCCGCCATGACATGTACCGTGTAGCTGAATAATTTCAGATGGGCACTCCACCGCCAACGATATAATTGGGAAACTTCAAGCCAAAATAATGTATTTCGAGGAAACTCCCAATTCCCAACAATATTCGAGCAATTCGGGTTACGACAAACAGCATCATGCGTGGCGCTGAACTGCTACTTACGCGATGTGAGGAGGCTCATCCAGCTTGTACAGGCGCGTAGCAGCCGCTAGCACTGACACGAGAAACAAACCTGCAAAGTACGCTGTCCTATTTGAATGCAACAACGCCATGGTGAACTAGGTGCGCTAAGTACTTGCTACGAAAGACAGAGAGGAAATTCCCACATTCAGCTGTTCCCCAGCATGGCTCTTCTCTTCAAACAAATATTTGGTTCAGGAGCAGTTCAATGGAGTAGGTGGACAGGACGCGGTGCCCTGAGAATTAAACTACAATAATTTGAATTGAATGGAATGAAACTAGAGAGCAGTGCTTTCAAACATTCAGCGTGAAGTGACAGTCGTATGATAGCGCTGGCGTTCGCACAAAATTAATAACGAATGCACCAGTTGGCTACTACTAGTACTAGTAATACTAAGTAACAGCTTACATAGTGAAGGCACAGAAGTAACTAAGTAAAACAACAGCTATGCTACTACTAGCTCGCAATGATTATTTAAAGGGGAAGTTAAGGCAAAAATTAAAATTTCACCAGTTGTAGTCTTCGGGGTGCTGAGTCGAATGGTCTTGGTCCGAGAAAGCTGAGACGCTCCCTTCCTACTTTAATCCCAATCGAACTCGCGCACTTCCACCGAAACTGGGTGACTGCGCCCTACTAGATGGGGATTTGTATGCAAAATGTCACTAAAAGCGCCATTTCGTTCTTATAAAAGCACGGATGACCGCGATTGGCCCATATGTTGTAGTCTTTTGGACGCTGAGTCGACTGGTTTTGGTCCGAAAAGGCTGCGATGCAGCGTTCCTCCTTTATTCCCAATCGAACATGGTTGAACAAGTGGTCACGTGCTCCTGGGTGCCAAAATCACCTGGTCACCACGCCAGCAGGCGACAACTTTCACACCAAGGTTCAACTCGAGTTCAACTCGAGTTCAACTCGAGTGACAGGACTGCACCCAAAAAAGGTCAAACAGGCTAGTAAGTTGTACCCTGCAGGCACGGTGACCAGCTGACTGGTGTACGCAGGAGCACGTGACCGCTTGTTCAACCATGTTCGATTGGGAATAAAGGAGGAACGCTGCATCGCAGCCTTTTCGGACCAAAACCAGTCGACTCAGCGTCCAAAAGACTACAACATATGGGCCAATCGCGGTCATCCGTGCTTTTATAAGAACGAAAAGGCGCTTTTAGTGACATTTTGCATACAAATCCCCATCTAGTAGGGCGCAGTCACCTAGTTTCGGTGGAAGTGCGCGAGTTCGATTGGGATTCAAGTAGGAAGGGAGCGTCTCAGCTTTCTCGGACCAAGACCATTCGACTCAGCACCCCAAAGACTACAACTGGTGAAATTTTAATTTTTGCCTTAACTTCCCCTTTAATAATATGATGATGTACACAAAGAGCGAAAAAAAGTTCTTGCTCCAAAATGTTGTCTCTATCTACATGTATCTTGAACAGCCGTGATATCTGTCGTCAGGAAGTCATGTAGATCAACACTAGACTCCTGATCAAATCCAGTCACGGCACAGTTTGCGCCTTGCACCGAAGCCCACACCATGTACCAGTGAGACGTGAGAGTCAGTACAGTGTTCGCAGGTCTAGGGCTGCGCTACGCCCGGCGCGCACTTGAGTGGCATGACTGGATTTCATTGAGCAGCTCTGATCTGTACGTCATCAGTACTACATGACGTCCGCGTGGATCCGGCACGTCCAGATAGTCAGTGTACTTGGGAAGTACACTGACTCTGTACAACACCATAGCAGACAGTCATAGTCAGTCATGTAAGTACATGTACCGGTATGTGCATGACATTGTACACAACAATGATCACTGCTCAGTGCGTCTCCTACATGACGTGATTGTATCTGTTCTTACCGGTATCACTACAATGAGTTCTTTATTAGAAAAATGGCAAAAAATAGTAATGCATCTTACATGTACATGTAGATGATTGACAGATTGTATACGCTGTCCACACCAGCCGAGAAGAACAGATCGAAGAGTGAACCAAACGGTTTCGTTCTCTTCTCACCATAGCCGGCATAGGCTCATACATGAACATGTACAGGGGATAAGCGGCAAAGTGCACCAATCATACAGGCAAAACGAAGAAGGACACAAAACATTACGCTCACAACTAACAAGTGAGTGTGAAAGGTTTAGCGCAGCCAGCGAACGCAGCGGGTCAAATACAGCATGAAGATGAAAAATAGCATGGTGAGAAGCGAACGAAACGTTTGGTTCAGAAAATCTTCGATTTGTTCTTCTAGACTAGGCCTTTGCGGATAATGCCGGCAGAAAAATTGGCAGAATTCGGTACTTTTCTGGTACGTTTCATGCATGTTTGTTATGTGGATAAAGAAATGGAGCAGAATTCGAGGAATTGCCTGCCATGGCATAAGGTTTGATGGTTCTGCCAATTTCACTGCTTTTCGAGCAGAATCTGCCACCTTTTCGAGCATTATCCGCCAATGCCTACAATGATGTACATGTACATGTATTCTAGATTTCTCATTACTGTTTTCTGATGATCGCTTAGTGCGTGAAACTCGGAGTAAAAACACTTTCTCTGTCCTCCTATTGTTTGAACCAGCTCTGCCACTCGGTACTGAGCACTCTCTTGGACAGCCTGGAACCTCTCTGTTTTATTCCAGACTAGTGTGGACGACGTATACATGTACAGTGGCTGTACAATGTAAAATGTAGATGCATGACTATTGAATTGTTTTTTTTCTAAGCACTGGAACGTTTCCAATTTGTTCTGCGATGTACATTCTTTCTGTCACGAAATTGTTTTCGGTATTTTGAGTTGTTTTCCAATCCTCCACCATAGCCAATTGTGTTTTGTGTGCCGGTACAAGAGGTTTTATTATGAATGTGCAACCATAACAAGTATCGTACATGTACGTGTAGTTATGATGGAGAGAGGATGTAACGAGAACAAAATGCTGTAACTCAGTTGTTTCAAGTCGAAGCAATCAACATGCTGTTTTGACCTGCAACATTAAATCAATATAATTATTACCTACTCAGACGTGTGCGTGAGTCCTGCTGCACAATATGTGGTGTAACGTGTGTGTGTGTGTGTGTGTGTTTGTGTGTGTGTGTTTGTGTGTGGTGTGCGATGCACAACTTGTAAACTATTAGCAACACTGTACGCAGGTATACGAATATGTGCCATACGTCGCCTGACATACTTATACAACAGCTTGACGTCTTGCCATTGTCAATTTGGGAATTTCGATCATTTTCAATCGGCTTCCAAGTCTGCAACATGATACAGCCGGTACAAAACCTTTCCCATGGCACGGCCTTCGACGAATGGTCGAACATCATCCGGATGACAGATCACAAGGTCATGTAGATACTTGCACAACTCCAAGAGAGCTCTATCCTTGTGGCATCCATGCCACTCATCAATGTGGATACCATTTCGGCCGTTGTAAGCTAACTGCGTTGGGCTACTGTCGACGAGAATTGTTTTACGAAGATCACGACCAAGCATCTGCAAGCATTTGATGTAGCGACTTTCCTGCTGCACGCAATGATCCCTATGTAGCAAAGGTATGCCCCCACATGAGCGCGACCCAAAACAGCGCCGTTGACTTCAGCGCCCCCCAAAAGCCCCATCCCCATAACTGGACATCCCCAAAACTGACCACCCCGTCAGCGCGCACGCTCAATACAGGTCGACTCATTTACACTCAAACCCAAAAGATGGACACTCGACTTGTCAAAGACTCAAATCATGATCAACTCGAAATGGCCAGTTCAGTATTGAAGGGCGATATTGCCTGGACCCAATTTATAATCAACTCTAGAAAGCAATGATGAACTAAAAAAAGCATTTATCGACTCAAAAACACCAGTTCAGTATTAAATGGCGATATTGCCTGGATGGACGTTAACAGGTCCAGATACAAATAGGTTGTATTCAACTCTAGAAGGCAATGATCAACTCAAAAGAAGCAATGGTCGTCTCAAAAAACAGTTCACTGTTAAATTTTTTGGTTTTCCGAAAATGGTAATCTTCAATGGATTGTCATTAAAACAGAAAAAGAAAATAATAAGTAGGGCTGAAACAATTATACCGATAACTCGCATATCGATCGTTAAGAGTGCAAAACGAGTGCTATCGATTTTTTATGCATGCATAAGCGTAAGCGAAGCTGTGGACGCAGCATACTGCTGCTACACTTCAGCGCGGGAATGCGTATAATAATAATAATAATAATAATAATAATAATAATAATTTGTTTTTCTTGAGACTATCGAGTCCTGGTGGGTCTGGCGTTTTTTTCTCTTTTCAGGCAGTTCACTTCCCCGACTGATCCTTTGAATAATAATAATTACCCATATAAAAACCGCTCTGTGAGCGGTTCTGAAAAACCTCTACTGGTGCAGCCCCGTCGTAAAAGTAAGAAATTAGAACTGGCGCATTGTCCTCCCAAATGTGAACTGATCCACCTAAATCGCGATTGACGGGACCCGAACGCACCAGTAGCACGAGGTTCCTACCTGTGGATGCAGCTGGGGACGCTGGTCCATAGCCAAAGCCAAAGCGGCAAAGGTGGGCTTCGGGGTAGATCTAAGTGTTGTATGGTAACTTGATCAGCGCCGACGCCGGCTGTGATCCTGTGCCCTCCCGACCTCGTGCTACTGGTGCGTTCGGGTCCCGTCAATCGCGATTTAGGTGGATCAGTTCACATTTGGGAGGACAATGCGCCAGTTCTAATTTCTTACTTTTACGACGGGGCTGCACCAGTAGAGGTTTTTCAGAACCGCTCACAGAGCGGTTTTTATATGGGTAATTTCAGTCCTTTTTCTGTTCCCTCCCCCACCCTAGCCCAGCTCCGAAGATAAACATGGTGAGCACGCGCGCGATGCACTGTATGTAGCCATGCAACTGCAGTAGCACACTGATACATTCCAGCCCTCCCCACCTCGCTACCCCGCACACAGACACCTTGTGACAAACACGCACATGCACATGGCACACACACACATGGGCACGCACACACATACATACACACACGACCCAAACAGGAAATTCTTGATGAACATTGTATAATGCCATGCAAAGCAGTGGCCACCATACTTCAGGAAGTCAGTTGTGAAACAAAAATAATTCAACTACAATGTGTAGGTAAGCTGGCGGCCAAAGCACAACATAGCAAACCTTGATGATATTTGCCTAAGGATTGCAGTTTGCAGACCACACCATGGAAGCAGTGAATACAGAATTATTGTAATGTCATACAAAGACAAGCAAAGAAGTGGCCACCATACACCAGAAACTTGCAGAAAGTCACATATCCAACAGATAGAGAAGTGAACAGCATCTGGTACAGCCCACACAAAACCAAGCTGACCTGATACTCGTCCGAAGATCGTAAGTGGCAGATCCTTTTCAACGATAGCATGCAGGTGTACGTTACACGCATGGACAAAATCTGACCGTGTCACCGGCATACATTGTCATCACATGCATACCCCACAAGTTACACACATGCACAGTAGAAGCACAATAAAAGCAATGGAAAAATATGAAGGGGTTGCTGAAGCATCTTCACACTTCAATTTCAGACTTCGATGTGGTCGTCACGGGGTGATATACCTGCAAGATACAAGTGATACAGAAAGAAAGCATAAGGTCGTGAGGTAGGCTATGAGACACCACCTAATAATAAGGCACCCATTTTGATAGTCCAGGGGATGGCCCACGCCTGGTAAAGAGAAAAAAATAGAGAAAAGAAAAGACGGGTATTTCACAGGAAGTACATGTACATGTACATGTGCAATGGGGACACAGTGCAGTTCAGTATTAAATGGCGATATTGCCTGGAGCGAATCCATGAACAAATTGTGGGCAGAGTCACGAAATGGCTTGGACGTTAAAGGGGAAGTTAAGGCAAAAATTTAAATTTCACCAGTTGTAGTCTTCGGGGTGCTGAGTCGAATGGTCGTGGTCCGAGGAGGCTGAGACGCTCCCTTCCTACTTGAATCCCAATCGAACTCGCGCACTTCCACCGAAACTGGGTGACTGCGCCCTACTAGATGGGGATTTGTATGCAAAATGTCACTAAAAGCGCCATTTTGTTCTTATAAAAGCATGGATGACCGCGATTGGCCCATATGTTGTAGTAATTTATTTATTTATTTATTTATTTATTCAACATCTCCTGGCCCGTCCGAAGACTGCCAATAAACATGAGAGGTCAGGTGATAGCCAACCACGGCAAGCTAAAAGGGAAAAAAAAGAAAGATGCTGTCAGAGAGGGAAAGGAGATAGGGAGAGAAAAAGAAAGGGAGGCACATTAATAATACATGGGATCACTTCGGATGAGACAGTGTGGAAAGCTGGACTGTGAATTTCCTGATATCCTGGCATGTCTTAATGCTAGTAGGCAGGTTAGACCAAAGGGAGTATGCTGAGAAGAAAGGGGATTTCAAAAACAGAGAGGAACTAGCGCGGGGCAGTGATAAGGCATTGCGTGTTGGGCTAGTGGTAACAAACCAGTTGTACTTGGCAATATGTTTCGGGACTTGGGCTAGGAAGATTTTTGCACAAGGATACAAAGATGCTGCTGATGTCGGGCAAGAAGAGGGTGCGTGGAAGCAAGTTTATAAAGACAAAGGGAGGCAAATGTTTGGTCTTTTCGAAACAGAATTTTCAGAAGCAAGCGTTGATGTACCTCCAGTCTGTGGAGTAAAGTCTGAGACAACCCGCACCAAGCTATATCGCAATAGTCAAATATAGGCAAAATGTACGACAACAATTCTCTGCAGTTATCATTCAAGTGTTGGCAGTGGGGTTGTAGCATACCTAAGGACGCACTCGCACGCTTGCACACAGACTGGACTTGTGGAGACCAGGAGAGTTGGCGGTCGAGAATAACGCCCAGGTGCTTGTGCTCGTTAACAACTTTAATAGGTGTACTATTTAGACCAGGAAAATACAGAAGTTGAGTGGGGGGCGAGGGAGAGAAGAACATGGCCTCGGTTTTGGCGAGGTTAGGCTTCAGTTTCCAGGTTTCCATCCATGTTACTGTAGCGTTGACCCCGGACTGTATGGAGGCCGTGAGGTTGTCTGCCGAGCTGTCGGAGCACATCAGAGCAGTGTCGTCAGCAAAAAGACTTACATTTGGTACAAGGGCTGGCAAGTCATTAACGTACAGTAGAAATAGGAGCGGCCCAAGTATGGACCCCTGGGGTACCCCAGACACGACTAGTAATGGGTCTGATAGGGAGGTAGATACTCTGACAGTCTGGTGGCGGCAGGAAAGATAGGATGAGAGCCACTGCAGCATTTGGACGCTGAGTCGATTGGTTTTGGTCCGAAAAGGCTGCGATGCAGCGTTCCTCCTTTATTCCCAATCGAACATGGTTGAACAAGCGGTCACGTGCTCCTGCGTACGCCAGTCAGCTGGTCACCGTGCCTGCAGGGTACAACTTACTAGCCTGTTTGACCTTTTTTGGGTGCAATCCTGTCACTCGAGGTGAACCTTGGTGTGAAAGTTCTCGCCTGCTGGCGTGGTGACCAGGTGATTTGGGCACCCAGGAGCACGTGACCGCTTCTTCAACCATGTTCGATTGGGAATAAAGGAGGAACGCTGCATCGCAGCCTTTTCGGACCAAAACCAGTCGACTCAGCGTCCAAAAGACTACAACATATGGGCCAATCGCGGTCATCCGTGCTTTTATAAGAACGAAATGGCGCTTTTAGTGACATTTTGCATACAAATCCCCATCTAGTAGGGCGCAGTCACCCAGTTTCGGTGGAAGTACGCGAGTTCGATTGGGATTCAAGTAGGAAGGGAGCGTCTCAGCTTCCTCGGACCAGGACCATTCGACTCAGCACCCCGAAGACTACAACTGGTGAAATTTTAATTTTTGCCTTAACTTCCCCTTTAACAAGTCACCGCAGCTGCAAGAGGTGATTGTGCTTCTGCTGGCCCCGAAACAAAGTCGTGGATAGTTGCTGCACAACTCGTTCTCATGTGTTTCTTCTCTTTTTTGCATATCTTTTTTAGGAACGGGTTTGCTCCTGATATCCACCATGGTAATACTAACATCAAGAGTACATAAAACTGGTTATGCACTCTTGCTAACATGAGCCTGCAGATTATGGGTCACGTGTGTAATGAGCTGGCTTATATTCGGACGTTAACGTAATTGGTCGCGCCAAAATGGGGCGTGCAAGAGATGAGACGAGCTGTAGTGACACCGTGTCACATTAGGTCGCGCTGTACTGGGGGTGCTAATATGAACACGCGCCGTTTATGGTTGCGCTGTTTTGGGTGTAAATCGTAGCAAATACTTCACTAGTCTGAAGTCACGGTTGATCCAAGTGACCATTTTCAGAGCATAGGGCTTTTCCATTGTTGTGTAGACAACAATATCGAAATGCTCTGAAGCTCTCAGCAGGAAATACGTCAGGAACGGACGTTCGTAAACATGGACTTTCTCCCCGTAACAATCGATAACAGTACTATCAAGGTTGGCAGTCTTTGCTATGCGGAAGCTTGTGCTGTGCACCAAAGTCTCGTCCAAGTCCAATGCCAATGTGTACTTGGGTGATGCGGTGCTATGGCGACTCAGAGGGGGCAGCAGCGATGTATTCCAAAATTTCTCCGCGCAGATTGGTATTCCAGGTATAAAGTCAACGCAGCAGAAGAGGTTGTCCGTTCCTTTGCCCACGCGCTGGTTTTCTGCATTGCTCTCGCTCGTAGTAAGTATATCGTGAACTGCCGCTCTCAATGTGAGACGCACAGATCTGACAGTGGCCAAAATGTTCTGCAGAAATCCGCGTCGAACAGCTGGCATCACAATAGCTTTGTTCCCGTCCAGCTCGGCTTTGTTCCAGGATAGCGATTCCTGCACCATCGGGATGTGATTGCCCATCTTGGATACCTCGCGAGTCCGCAAAATGGAAGACAACTACATGTACATGTAAACACAGTTACACTCCTATTCACATTGACGTTGCAAGAATGTTATCAGGGTTGGTTGTGACATTGCCATACGTTACAGGGACGAATGCTCTGCGCGCATATCGACTTGCCACTCGAGGAAACTGAAAATTAATCACCTGAGATAGAACTACGCGGGCAACACTTGCTTATGCGTTGAAATAGAATGCTACCAGCATGCATGCCTCTCCAAATACGTGTGTGAAGTGGAAGCAAATTTTTGAGCTCCGCAGTTTTTAGTTTCCACGGCTTCCTGGCAGCCCTTCGGCGTGGCCAAGAGGACTAGTACTAGTAGTAAGACATTCGTATAGATTAGTAGTAGGGCTGACCCACCTCTGGCCGCCATGCCCCCAACTACAAAGACCGCCCTCAAGGGGCTCTCAGAGGCAGAGATGAAACTTTTGTGCTCCCTTCCGGGTATCGAGTCGTCTGTGCTGGAAGTAATCAAGACCCTGGCTAACCTAGCGTCCGAGTCGGCCGATCGTGAGGCTCGCTTCAACAAAAGGATTGATGAGCTGTCGCGGCAGGTGTCCGGCCTGACTGAGGAGGTTGTATCCCTCAAGGAAGCCGCCATTGCCAAGGCAAGTGTTCCGCCGAACTTTCAAGCTGCTCAGCAGAGCCAGCGTACGCGTGCGAAATCGTCCAGAAATCGTACCCGTACCCACCCAGGCCAGGCTGCCGGGTGCACTAGTAGTAGTAGTAGTACGGGTGAGCCCCGTAGCGTGGGTGGCACAGGCGGTGACCCAGAGGCGCAGAGTGACGAAGACATGCAGCACGATGGACAGCACAGCACGAGCGTGTTACTTGAGGAGTACGGCGAGGAGTTCCAGCCTCTGGACGTCATTTCTGACGATAGTTGGCAGCTAGTGTCATCAGAGCCACCCAGACCCAAGAAATCTGTCCTGTATACCTGAGTGAGTCATGCACTGACGACGACATCAAAGCTTTCACCCTGAAAAGGTCAGGCACAGCCGGGACTCCAGCTACTGTCCATAACTGCAGCATCCACAAGGCTGAAAATGGCAAGATATCTGCAAGGATCACTGTGGATGCCACTGCCATCGCACTCATCACCTCACCAAACTTCTGGCCAAGGCCACTCTATGCCAGACCGTGGAAGTTTAAGCAACGTTCAGTTGAGCCTGATCGTGACGACTTGCCTCGCAGCCCGGGAGTCAACACGGAGCAGTCCGGCTTGGCAGAATGACTACTGCAAGTCTCCGGCTGCTAGTCACAAACGCCTTTGGGCTGCTGTCCAAACTCGGCGAGTTCCAAAACAATCTGAGTTCAACTAAGCCTGATATAGCGATCGTCACAGAAACGAAATTCACGCCAGACAAGGTTCCACTCGCCATGTCAACTATTCCTGGCTATGCAGCACCTATTCGCCAAGACTGAACTGCTTCAGGCGGGGGCGTAGCTGTCTGGGTGAAGTCCAACCTGCATGCTCGGCACCTTGACACCATTGACTGTAAAGGTTTTGAGGTAGTATGGCTCTTAGTAGATTCATGCTCTCATGGCAAGGTTGTAGTCTGTGCTGTGTATCGTTCCGGTTCAAGTAGCCCATCAGATTGCTCCGTCATCGACTACCTAGACAGCTCATTACCTGCAGCACAGCAACTCGGTGACCATGTAGTCATTGCAGGGGACTTTAATGTCCACAATTCCGCCTGGCTCAAAAGTAGTAAAACAACATTGGCTGGTCTTGCACTGGAGGATCTAGCATCTGCTTATTGCCTCACGCAGCATATCACGGATCCCACTAGAGGTGATGCCATTCTAGACCTTGTCCTTTCAGACTTGCCTGGACATGTGAGCACTTCTATCTGTAAGCCCCTTGGACGCTCTGACCATGCGGTCATCATCGCAGACTTCTTGACAGTTTCTCCCTCAGAGGAGGAGAGCTCTACTAGAACAGTATGGCGCTACAACAAAGCCGATTGGTCGAGACTGAGGGCACACTTCAGATCCGTAGATTGGCTGCAAGTCACTGCTCCCCATACCGACTGCAACAAGGTCTGGGATGTCATCTCAGAGACAATTCTAGTGGGGATGCACCGATTTATCCCGTGCAAGCAATACACTACAACACCCTCTGACCCGCCATGGTGGAACCCAGAGTGTCTGGACGCAGTAGTCCTCAAGGAACAGGCCTGGCGGCGCTGGAGGAGATTTCCATCTTCTGAGCCTCTGAAGCAGACATTTTTACAATCAGTCAACCATGCCTCAACTGTGATGGGCACGGCCCGCCTAGCTTGGGAACGGCGTGTCCAGGCTAAGCTCTGTGCGGGTAATCTGCGTGACAAACAGTGGTGGTCGGTGATGAAATCAGTCGCTGGTGTTAAGCGCTCCTCTGATATCCCAACCCTGATTGATGCACATGGGCAGGAATGCGCAACCAACCTGGCAAAGGCAAACTGCTTTGGATCATTCTTTTCCAAGAAATGCAGTCTTGCCTCCGACATATCAGTGGACAGCCTGCCTGCTGCCTCTGGCGACAGTAAAACTCCATCAGTCACAAGGATCCATTTCCGGGCTGACACAGTACGACGACATCTGGCAAGACTCAACTCTTCCAAAGCCACTGGACCGGACAATATCCCAGCTAGGGTACTCAAGGAATGCGCAACTGAGCTTGCAGGGCCCCTAGCACGCCTCTTCTCCCTGTCTTTCAGTACTGGCTACCAACCACAGGCATGGAAGGTTGCCCGAGTAGTTCCAGTATACAAAAAGTCCTCCAAATCCGCTGAAAAGAATTACCGACCAGTCTCGCTGCTTTCTATATGTTCCAAAGTAATGGAGTCCATCATCAACCGCCAGTTAATGAACTTTCTGGAGGGACAAAACCTCCTATCACCAAGGCAATTTGGCTTTCGCCGAGGCCTAGGTCCATCCGATCTACTTACGGGACTACACCACAAGTGGTCGGCCACATCTGGCCTTGGTGGATCTGTGGAGGTGCTTGCTGTCGACATCGCCGGGGCTTTTGACAAAGTCTCCCACACAGGTGTACTGCACAAGTTGCGGAACATCGGTGTGAAGGGCCCCCTCCTGGACTGGCTTAGAGACTACTTAACAGGTCGTTCGCTGGAAGTGGTCATCGGCGGCAAGAGCTCCGATCGCTATCCGATCTCTGCAGGAGTACCACAAGGCAGCATCCTTGGACCGTCCCTGTTCCTAGTATATGTAAATGATGCTGATAGCTGTCTGGCTCCAGGGTCTGAAATGGGAACATTTGCAGACGACACCACGCTGTATGCCTGCGCCAATACACGCGATGATGCCATACACCAAGCTGACAGTCTTCAAGCTTCCGTTAATGCGTTACATGCATGGGGAACAAAGTGGCATGTTAAGTTTGAACCATCCAAGTCGCAGCTCCTACGAATCTCCTGCCATCGACAGCAGCCTTGGCCCGTCTCCGCAATAAACTTTGGAGGGGAGGTCATCCCACAACAGCCACACCTCAAGCTCCTCGGAGTTATGGTTGACTCCAAGCTATCCTTTTCCGCCCATCTCCGGTCAGTTGCTGCCAGGGCAAACTCACGTCTTGGCCTCCTACGTAGAGCTGCTCGTGTTCTGGACTGCCGTGGCATGCTGGCCGTGTATCACGGCTTCGTCCGGCCCCTGCTCGAGTACGCTCCCCTTGTCTGGATGGGAGCTGCTCCCACTAACCTTGAACACCTTAACAGAGTGCAGCGGCGTGCCCTCCACATCCTGGGACCCAACATCTTGCTACAGAGCCTAGAGGCCCGACGGACAGTGGCGGCACTGACTTTCGTCTACAAGCTGCTGGGCCAACCAGGTCCTCCTCTGCTGAGATCCATGGTCCCCCCTCTCGTCGCCCACCATGCCGCACCTGTAACCCGGAGACAATGCCAACAGTCTGCTTCACACCCCTTCCAACTGGAAAATGTTCTCCCTCCAGGCGCTCCTAACTACCTAAGACGCGCCTTTCCATACAACATCATCAACACCTGGAACGCGCTGCCATCCTCCCTCTTCACCAAACCACCATCTCCTAAGGGCCTACAATCCTTCAAAGCGAACGTCCACTACCATCTTCGCCGAAGCCAGTGGCTTTGGGCCACAGACTCCCTCTAACAGTTCAGAACTATTTCCATCCTGAAGCTCCCCCCCCCAAGCATTGCATGATGTTCACTGCATCTGAACTGCCTTTGAATCTATTTTTCTCTCTTCTTGTTCTCTCTCCACCCCCACCCCACCACCCCCCCCCCCCCTCTCTCTCTCTCTCTCTCTCTCTCTCTCTCTCTCTCTCTCTCTCTCTCTCTCTCTCTCTCTCTCTTTCTCCACCCCCCCTCTCTCTCTCTCTCTCTCTCTCTCTCTCTTTCTTTCTCCTCATCCATTCTACCTCACCTTCTCTTGTCTTTATCGCACTAAATCACCCCTTCTTTTAGGCTATGGTGCGCAAGCTCACGTTAACGCCGAGACCATAGGTCGGTGTTGTGGGCTTGCCTCACCAGCACAGGCTTGCTTTGCAGCCCCTACTCTCCCTGCTGTTTTGTCATTGTATACTCTGTTGTCTTCTCCCCTTCTGACGAGTAGGTTGTGTACTTAGTAAAAAAAAAAAAAAAAAAAAAAAAAATGCATATACATGTACATGTAGACAAACTTGTAGATCGGCTGGTATGGGAGTGAACACGGCCTACTGCCGTACTGACTACTGGTGTTGTGAAGAGAGTGAAACAAGTATTACTATTAGTTTTGTGTCAGGGAAGCACCTAGTACCTGTAACCTGTGCACACAACTACTAGTTTCTTGACACATTTCGTAAGTACTTTTAAAGTGCACTGCATGCTAGCGACAATACTAACTACTTGTACTTTTGTAGTATGATACGTGTAGACTAATCATTGATCTACAATGTATGATGAGTTCGCCTGAACATGTCGGCTATAAGGGCGTCCGTCAACTTTTCACGCATCGAAGAGTTCCATTTTCTTTTCTGAAGAGGCAGGGTATTTGACTTTTCTGAAAACGACAAATGTTTCCTGACTGATCGACACTTGACAGCATGTTCTAAGCGAAGGAATAGATCAATGCAGGACACTCGAAACTTTGGCTGAAAGCAGTACATGTAGGCAAATGTGTATAATTATTAATGTACTTCGAAGTATTGTGTATCCTAGATCCTCCTTGCAATGTCTTTAAACGCCTCCGTGCAAAAAAGATTTTTGAAATGAAGTACAAGGATGAATGATGTCAACGGGCGCAAAATCCGTCAAGCGCGCTACTTGGCATAGCCCAATTGCCAAGGAAGGCTCACAAGAAACACTAGAACTCAACACCGAGTGAGATGTTGGTTAAGTACGTGAAAGTCTGCAAACAACAGTATTAGTTACTTCTCTTCTTGTGTGCAAAGTTCTGCCATTACAGATGGTGTGCCCCGTGCGCAGAACAGAGAATTACAAAGTTCCATTGAATGTATGATGTAATCCTCGACCACTACTTATAGTATGTGCAGTATCCAAGTTAGTTCTTGGTTGGGGATAGCAGAATACATGTACTGGTAGATCAAGTGAAAAAATAGCTATTCACAAGCTTGATAGAGTTGATGTTTCCGACTTCAGAAGGTATAGGATATTGCACACAGATACCAATGCAGAAAAGTAATCCAGGCATACTCTACAGGTAATACCCTGCTGTCATATTGGACATCTCTGTTCCCACGTTCAGTCATACTCCACATCCACAACACTATCAAGCTGATAAACGACCTTTCCCATAGCATACCGATCCACGAGTGGTCGAATGTCATCCAAACGCAAAGATGCAGCGTCCATGAGAAATTCGCACAACTCCAACAGTCCTCTATCATTGGGGCACCCATACCACTCATCAATGTGGATACCATTTCGTTCGTTGTAAGCTAACTGTGTTGGGCTACTGTCGACGAGAACTGTTTTACGAAGATCACGACCAAGCATCTGCAAGCATTTGATGTAGCCACTTTCCCGCTGTACGCAATGATCCCTATGTAGCAAATACTTCACTAGTCTGAAGTCACGGTTGATCCACGTCACCACCTTCAGAGCATAGGGCTTTTCCATTGTCGTGTAGACAACAATATCGAAATGCTTTGAAGCTCTCAGGAGGACATAGGTCAGGAATGGCCGTTCGTAGATGTGAAATGTCGCGCCAGAAGAGCAGACAGTGGTACTATCAAGACTGGCAGCTCTTGATAAGGGGAAGCGGCTGCTGCACATGAGGGTTTCGTCCAAGTCAAAGACCAATGTATACTTGCGCGTTGAAGGGCTGTATTCATTCTCACGAGGCAAGAACGACATATTCCAAGATGTCTCTTTTAATATAGGTACTCCGGGTACCCGTATGTATTCCACGTTACTCTGAAGCACTTCTCCATGGCCTGAGTCTTGTTCATCTGGGTCGCCGTCGTTGTTATCCTTGGTGTTGCTGCTGCCTCTGCTGCTTCTGGTATTGAGCCAGCTAAAAACCATCGCACGCAGTGTTAGTCGCGTCAGTCTAATACGAGCCATGACACCCTGGATAACACCTAGCCCGCTTACACTGGGCAACACTGTAGCTCTGTTCTCCTCAGCTTGCTTCTGTAAACGAGCTTTCAGCGCCATCAGATTGTAGCAGTCACCCATCACGGTGGAAGTCTAGAAAACAGTGTCCTTATACACTAGGAGATACCTCAACGGCAAACACTTGGAATATCAGCACGGTTCGGTGCTTAATCTACTCCTTGAATCCTACAAGTGTAGGAATTGAACTGGTGTAACTAACTGATTGGCTCCCGAAAGCTAACTTCTCAACTCGCAACACTCAGCAGACGTGAAATCACAGCAGTAGGAGTATAAGTCCGCTGCGAGCACCACACCGCACCTACCAAGCCTTTCCTCCAAGGACAGGTTCGCAAACTAAACACGAACGCCTTCTCTATCATGTTTTATGTACATGAAGTGATGGTGTGAACCGACTAGGATATTATTGATAGCAAAAATTAATAAGAAGTACGTGGCACATTGTACTTTGTACAAGTAGCTCCGCAGCTGAAAAAAGCCGTGGCACACTAGTGCCAGTACTCGCAGTAGTGGCAGTGCACTGCCACTAGCGCCTGACTAGTCCATAGCATAGGGTCTCCTCTACTCTAGTCTATTCACCCCCCACCCATGATCATGATGACAATGTGGAGGCATCAACCATGGTATGATGGTTTCATTGCATGCCAGGACGTAAAGTGACGTATCCGCCTACGTAACCGTTCATGTCCAGGTACAAGTACGTGTGCGGAACCTCCCACATACATGTACTAGTACATGTAATAGCCCTTGACTATGATGCCAAGCCATTGCTAACACCAAGGAGTAAAAGTAAATGGCCATAGGGGTATAGGTAGGCGGGTAGAATAGTTGCAGTAGTAGAATGTATTACGGTAATAGGGGGATAGGTAGGCGGGTAGAATAGTAGTAGAATGGTTAATAATAATAATAGTTACAAACCTCATGCCAGTTTGATACACGTTTCCGTTTTGTTACACGAAAACCCTGACCTGAGTCAGCGCTCTTTGCAGAGCGAAATAAAAGGGGATACTCAGTACATAGTAGACGCCGTATCGCGTGGTGACGCGATGCAGCACTATGGCAACCATGATCGCGCGGAAGCGAGCGCCACCATGTACATGTACATAAACATGTACCAGCGCAACGCGGTACCAACAAGTAAAAATGTTACTTGCGGCAGGGAGAGCGAGTGCGACACTTCGTCATGACCCAGGCGATCTCTCTACCTAGCCAGTCTCACATTCATAATAGAAATTAATAATTTAATTACACACGAGTCACAGAGTACCACGCGTCTGGATTGTTGTAACTAACAGTCTCATGCCAGATGGCAATCTTCAGGCAACTCAAAACAGTGATGCACAGCTAGTATGGTATTTATACAGCAGCATAGGAAGGAATCTGTGAAGGTGTGAGGTCTGGTGGGTGCAAAATGTCCTGGAGGGAAAATGTGCCAAACTCACATAGTCCGTGAGTGAGAAAAGAAGGGGGATTATGATATGGCAGGAAGGCAAGCAAGGCTGTGTAAAAGAATGATAATGATAATGTGGTTTGCCTGCAATCACAATCATGCAGGTGAAAGATGCCGCACACTTTGGTAAGCGCTTGAAATAAGCTGGAGGAGGGGAGATACTTGCCCTTCAATTAGCCCTTTCCCAAAGATGCCAAAATATTTCGCAACTTATGCTTTTCGCAGCCATGCCAAAACAAGCGAAAGTTGCTGAAAAAGCATCCATACTTTCAGAAAAATCTCAAAAGTTGCTGATATCGCACCTCAAAATGATCGAGTTCTTGTCTTGTGCATAGTATCATAGCATCATTGCTCAGTGCTTACTACAACCATCCATGGTTGGCAGAGCCGGTTCAAATGGTCGCAAGACTGGGGGCTCTGCCAACTGTGCCGACGATTGTAGTAAGGTCACTGTTTCCAAACACAGTGGTCCTCCGCCTTGTAACATGTTGTTGTTGTTGTTGACTTTTCTTTTACTTCACCAATGGCACAGGCATGATTGCCATCTCACCGTCACATACGTTCAGTTCTCACAGAAAGATGAAGGATGCTGTCAACGAACAATGTATGTACATGTATATGTACATGTACATGTACATGATGTACATGTACATGTTCTTCGAGAAGACTTGTTATGATGATTTGAAGCAAATTTTCAGCGCTTCTTGTTGAAGGGGAGCATCTCCGACACTTCAATGGTCTCCTCCAAGGCGCTTCTCTGCTCACGGTTGCGGAGAGTTGCGAAGTAGTTCGTGAAAATGGAAGATTGCGATCTCTTCAAAAACAATCAAAAGTTGCGAAAAAAGTGGTGAGCATCTTTGGGAAAGGGCTAGTCTGAAGGCAGGCGAGAAATGAGCGAGCACGAGTATGCATTTGTGCGACATGTAGTCGGTGACTTGACCTTTTGACCCCATGCCATGGGGTAGGGGTGTGCGGATAATGCTCGAAAAGGTGGCAGATTCTGCTCGAAAAGCAGTGAAATTGGCAGAACCATACAAACCTTATGGCGGACAATTCCTCGAATTCTGCTCCATTTATTTATCCACATACCAAACATGCATGAAACTTATCAAAAAAAGTACCGAATTCTGCCAATTTTTCTGCCTGCATTATCCGCATATGCCTACCATGGGGCCAATTGCGCCAAGTTTGCGGAAAAGTTGCGAAATAGTTCCGGAAAATGAAGAAAGTTGCGAAATTGCGATTTCTTCCTAAACAACGAAAAGTTGCGAAAATAAGTGGCGAGCATCTTTGGGAAAGGGCTACCTTCAATGTACCAACGAACAGGTGCAAGGTGGAAGTTTCCACGCGCTGTGATGGCTATGGGTGCTTAGATTAGGCGAGGAAAATGAAAAGAAATTTCCATAATGACGCGACGTCAAGCGAGGCTATAATTATGCAAGATACTACACCCATAATTAGAAGGGCCCTTTCCCAAAGGTGCTCTTTTAATTCGCACTTAGTGCTTTTCGCGTCCCTCAAAATATACTTTTTTTTATTATCTTTATTCTCACGGTGGCCGTAGCCAATAAGAGATAATACTGAAAAAGTGCTCTTTTTTCAGTGAAAGCAGGCAAAAAGTGCTTTTTTTCAGTGAAGCAGGCAAAAAGTGCTTTTTCAACATGACAGTTGCTGGACTACAGTGGTTAAGAAATTGGCTGCAGACTGATCGGCTGCAAATGTACAGCGCCTATAAAGCGGATAATCAAAGGTATTGTAGAATGGAGAGGATGACGACGACTGATGGAAATGAAATTTGCTGGAATACAGAGTGATCCGCGTTTCATCATATTAGGCATGCAGCTATAGCCGACTTTCAAGGTGTTTCTGTTGAAGAGCTTTTGCAGTTTGGCGTTCATGAGGAAATGCATGCTTACTAGTGCGAGAAACTGGCCTCCGATGTTTGTCCTGACATTGGCGCTATATGGAGGATTAAACCAGATGATGTCTCGCCCGCGTTTCCTCTTGCGACTTGACGGGGTGTCCACATCGTCGTACACAAGCACTCTGGGGTGGCCACTGGCAGGTAGCGCGTCGGCTTACTCAGGCACAGCTTCCTCAAAGACTTCCTTTGAGCTGGAAATCATCGCCAGACGCTTGTTGATGCCCACGGGTAAACTCTTCAACACCTTCGGTGGGTGGTTGGACTTTGCGCTTACGTAGAGCGGAGTGTCGTTCGGCTTACGGTATGGCTTGAACGCAATAGAAATTATTAATAATGAACTCGGATGGAGAGCCAAGGATTATTTATAAAAAGTAAAAAGGACCAAGAAACTACAAGTTACACTTTAATGTCCAGTTGTCCACTCACACCACCAGTCACTAAACAATCAGCTCATGCGATACCATTGCACGACACTGACCAACGGTACTAACGTTCTACACCTAACTGGCTAACAGCTCTAGCACATCTTGGATGCGCACTCCAACAGCCTTCCAACTTGGAAGGTTCTAAGTTACAGAAATAACATAAGGAGGGGAAGCTTGACCGTATTGTCCAATGGTCTTGCCAGTATCGTCATCGACATGCATGATCATCCGCTAACGCCCTTCACAGCGAGACTTTCAGCTCGTGCCTATCTTGATTGCGCTCACCTTACCCTCCTTATTTTCTATATTAAACTGAGAACCTTCCAAGTTGGAAGGCTGTTGGAGTGCGCATTCAAAATGTGCTAGAGCTGTTAGCCAGTTAGTTGTAGAACGTCAGTACCGTCGGTCAGTGCCGTGCAATGTTATCGCATGAGCTAATTGTGTAGTAACTGGTGGTGTTAGTGGACATTATAACATGTTAGTGAAACTAACTTGTAGTTTCTTGGTCCTTTTTACTTTTTATAGAAATTAATAAGTTTGCCAAACGGTCTTTTTCGCTTTAATCATTTATTATAGTACCCTATGGACTCGGATGGAGAGCCAAGGTTTGATTTATACAAAAGAGAAAGGACCAAGAAACTACAAGTTACGCTATACATTGCGTCGTGCAATGTTATCGCATGAGCTGATTGTTTAGTAACTGGTGGCGTTAGTGGACAGTATAGCATAACTTTTAGTTCCTTGGTCTTTTCTCTTTTGTATAGTACCCTATATTCTGCCTGTATTTCATTGACAGATGCGTTAAGCCCATGGATCCTTCCATGAGTGACATGCAAACTCTAAACATTATTATAATTTCTAGTACTTGGAAGTATTATTATTGTGCCTGGGTAGTAGTAGCCTTGCACTTTTCACACAACCAATACAAAGATCTAGCAAGAGCACATTTCACATGTAGATCTACTAGCGACGTACCCAGCACACAGTGTGCCATGACTACATCTAGCACATTCTGTCTCTAATTCTAAAGCCTAATGTCGCACTTACATGTACACAATTCTACGCGGGACGTGTGTTTGCGGCAATATTAATTTTCTGAAAATCTGACAAAAAGCAGCATAATACACGGTATATTTCAACGTCTTTTGAAGCGAAATCTGCGATACCTCGAGCATTGCCCGCCACATTCTATGAAGAAAGGAATTTCGTCTAAACCGTTTGGTGAACAGTATCATGTCAGTGCCAACATGCAGTTATGTGGTACTATGGTCAGTATGGACAAGACTAACAGCAGTAAAATACAATGTGGTACTATGGACAAGACTAACAGCAGTAAAATTATCATCATCATTATCATGGTATCAATACCACACTAAAGATCAGTCTGCCATTGCTACATTGCTACATTGTACATCTGTTCTGTAGTTGATCGGCATCGCTGGCAATTCGCACGTGCAAAGAATTTGTAATACGACATGGATGTTTGCTCGTTTGTTTGATTTTTGACAAGAAAGGTAGAGAATCGATCTGGTGTGGGTGTGTTAAAACAAAGACAACTGGGTTACAATA